GGGGGAGGGGGTCAGAGCTTCCGTTACAGTGCGTTTCATGGGGGGGGGGGGGGGGGCTCGACCCGGCGTGATGTAACGCAAATCGTCCCATACACACCTATACTTAAATGCGTGAAATTGTGGTTTCCTCGTACGTTTAAACAGTTTCTGCGTGCTTTTAACCTTTTAGCAATTCGTCACGTAACGCACCGGGGGAGGGGGGAGGGGTCCGAGGCAGCGTTACGCTGCGTTTCATAGGGGGCGGGGGGTCAAAAATGGCCTCAAAAAGCGTTACGTATTTTATGGACGGCCCCTTGTACTCGATGGCCACGGGGAGTTGCAGTCGTCACCCGTGTTCCCTCGCGGCGTCCACGACGCATCTCTTCGCATTGATTTTGGCTAAGGTGCCTTTCTTGCAAACTTTACACGCAATTCTGCCAGACTTTGCGTGATTCTGCGTACACAATTGTACGAAAAAATCCTTACAAATGTTTAAAAATTTGTGAGACCACGTACGCAACTGTGCGATTGCATGTCCAGTTACCACGTACGGGTGGCCCAGCACTGTTAAAAATTTCGTACTTTTGTAGGGAAATGGTACAGAAAAACAGTACGGAGGTACGGAGAAAAGTACAGAACGTTCCGTACTTGTTCCATTTGAACCCATGTAAATGGGTACGGAAAAAAAGTACGGACGTTCCAGGCAAATTATTGACCAGACATGTTCCGTACTTTTTTCTCACAGTGAGGCTAAATGTTGACCGTTGCTTTTCTGACCTTTTACTTGTGTCGGAACTAGCGCCGGTAGGCAGGCAACCCTTCGGACTCGCGGTGTGGCCGACGAAAGGGATGCCTACCTACCGGCGCTGGTCGGGCGAGGCCCTACGCAGACTTACTGTTTAGGCACAAACTTTTGTTCGAGTCGTTACAGTTTTTGGAAATCGCACTTAAACATCATTTGCATGATAAATTGTTACGTCTCGTACAAACTTGTACAGAACATAATTTAGTGCGTGGCGCGGCGCCGAAGCTATCACACTAAATTACTATGTACGGTTTTCTGTGCATAAGCTTTGCACAAACTTGTGTATGCGTTTTAAAATGCACGAATTTGTGCGTTTCACGCGCATGCTCAATTCTGCGCAGAAGCTAAGCAGCAAAAATGTACGAAGTAATTTAGTGTGATCTCGGTAGATCCACTTGGCAGCCTTCACTGTGGCAAAAACCTACGGAAAATTCTGTAAGCAGCTTGTGAGAATTCTCCGTAGCCCCCTTATCAATATTCTCCGTAGGCTCTTACAGTATTTTCCGTAGGGCCGCACAGTATTCTCCGTAGGACCTTACAGTGATCTCCGTAGGACTATACAGTCTTCCAGGTCCTACGGAGAAGACTGTGCGGACTTACAGAGAATACTGTACGGCCCTACGGAGAATTCTGTAAGAGCCTACGGAGAATATTGATAAGAGGGCTACGGAGAATCCTGGCAAAAAAATTAACAGAATTTTCCGTACCTTTTTGCCACAGTGTTGCGAAGGGCTCATTCATAAATTGAGAATGATTTAAGCATTGGAGAGCGCAGACGACACGCGGGTTTTCTATTAACCGGCGGGTCTAATTTAATTGTGTTCTGACTCGAATGATTCATTTCACGACGTTGCCAATCAAATTTGTACGCATTAAAAAAACTCAATCCTCGCAGCCCAATCCTTTCAAATTTGAGTTGTACTTATGACAGTGAATTCGTAGTTGAAATAAATGATCGTTTTAACGCTCAAAGATCGTCTTGCGTACCAACAACTTCTAACATGTTCATCTGACCTCTCTTCATTTATTTGATCAAAGGCACAGTGAAAAGAACACAAGAGCCAGAGCGGGGAGGACTGCAGTGCTAGCTGTCGTGGAGGCCGCAGAGGGTTTGTTGGTGGAGGTTTGAAGAATGCTGGGGTCAGTGGGAGAAAGAGTGGGGTTGGTTGGAGGCAGGGTGGGGTCGGTTGGAAGATTGGTAGGGTTGGTTTGAAGAGGGGTGGAGTCGGTTGGAGGAGGGGTGGGGTTGGCTTCAGGAATTGTGGGGTTGGTTGGGGGAATGGTGGCGTCGGTTGGAGGAAGCGTGGACGGCGTCGGAGTGATCGTGGGGCTGGCGTTTGCAGCGAAGAGCCACAAGGACACTTTCTCGAGATACTTGTCACCCCACGACTGCAGCTCTTTGTCAATGTGCTCGAAAGCGGCTTCGAGCCTCTTCCAGTCAGGACTGCTCTTGTATTTGGCCTCTAACCAGGGCCGCACCTGCAAAACAAATGAAAAGCACGCCGAAGTGAGAAAACAGGATAGCACGAAAAATTTGGCTTTCTTGCGCGTGAACCTGTTGCCAACTGCGGACTTACTTCATCTACGTCCTTCCTGGCCCTGAAGTCACGAACGACGGCAGCCAGTACCCGAGCATCAAAAGAATGTCCGAACCTGTGATAAAATGTCGCACAATTTCCTATTAGTTTGGTTTAGTGCACATTTCATCAACACCTTTCGTGAATTTTGGTCCTGGTCTGGAACTTGAACTCACGCTTTGCGGGTTTCATCGCCATTCTCTTTAACTAACTGGAGAAAGATGCGAAGGTTGTCCATATGGCCGTAAAGGGCGTCAAACAACATAACCCCGTCTGAGGAATTGTATTTTAAGGCGATAGCATCCGCTAATAGGCTGTAAATGTTACAAAAGACCATCAATAATAGTGTTTTACAGTAACAGTCATGAAAATTGTTTACAGAAGTCAACACGAGCTTTGAAACACACGGTAAAACCATCTTCTGGGATTCCCAGGAATATTGTTCAACTCCCAGGTTTATTGTTCAATTCCCAGGAATATTGCTCAATTCCCGGAAAAATCTACTGGCACTCTCAGGAATATCTTTCAATTCTCAGGAATATGGTTTTACCGTGAAGTTAGCAGTAACAAATCACTGCCCATTAAAAGGCACCACCGTCTCACCTTCGCACCAGCGACTTGTCCTTAGTGCAGCCCAGGGCTGAGGCATAGGTGAATCGGTCGTCCTCGTTCTGCTCCGCAAGCCACTTCTGCCGCATCTTCTCGAAAGTAGCGGCGTCAGACCCGCGAATGCCATAGCACAGCGTGGTGCGCCTGGTGTCCACCTGTAACCTGCGAACGGAGTTGTCGTGCTAACGGCGCTGCAGCAGTTTGAAACTTTACAATGGTACTTCACATTTCTTCGTGGGGCCACATTTACGAGGGAAACAAAAAGGAAATTTGTAAGATGCGAAGAAATAGTTTGTTAAGTTGCAGAGCTTCTTTTTTTAGCAAGTTAATAGTTTGCAATGCCCAGAAAATAGTTTGAAAGCTACTTCATAATACGTACAATGCCGGATAAAACTTGGCAAGGATTTTTGAGTGTGCAAACGCAAGTGTGTGCATGGCACACACTTTAAAATGAACACGGTTTCACAGTGTGCCTACCCGTGAGTACACGCTAAGGAGAGTGTACTGATTACACTGTTGAGTTTGCAGAGCAGACTGCGACGAGAACCGCGTGCTCGTATCGGCGTTTGGGCGTTTTGCGATACGAGGACCAGATTCTCGTGCCGGCGTGAACGTGTTAAATGAAAGTCTAAGTACTCACGGGTTGCTGCTGGGGTCCGCCAGCCAGGCTTTGAGTGCTGCCGCAGCCTCTGAGAGACAGTGTGTGTTGCCGGCTCGGCAAGCCAGGTCGGACACGATGTACCGCAGGTAGGCAGCCTCGTGCGCGTCGGAGTCTCTCTTTCGGTAGCCCACTGAGGCATACGCGTCCGCAGTGACGTCCTTGATCAGGGACTGCGGAAAAGATTAGTGTCCTCAAAATAACAGGAATCCTTAACTTAACATTTAACTAACACTGCTTTCATAACGTAATATAAGACAATTTTCGCTAAAGGTTAAGGGTGCGGACTTTTGGAAGTACTTCCAAAAGTATCCCTACACAAATTCGAAACACAAAAAAATAACTTAACCTTTTTGAAAAGATGTCAGAAGTTAAGGGTAATAACTTTAACTCTTACGATAACGTTATGATGCCCATATGAGGTAAGTTAAGGATCCCTGCAAAACAATGAAAGCTTTAAGATGGTTTAGTGCACCCAATTCAAAATTAGAGGGGAGTATGAACCTCTTTTTAAAATTTCAATTTTAATTAACGTTTAATTGAAATGCCCGCGGACATAACTGAGTTGTGATGAACGCGATTGTAACACGGACCGCTTGTTGCGAAGCAATACTTTGCCATTTGCAAACTGATTGATCGTTTTGAGAACCTGTTGTTTGAATAGTTGCAAACAAGTAAGAAGTTCGTAATGCCATTCTTCCCTAGTTGCGAATAAGCTGCTTCATCTTGCAAGTGGTTAAGAATTTAACAGTGGAGGCTTTTGTCTTCTGCTTTGAATCGACGAACTGTGAAACCCGAGGGGGTGTGCACGGTGAAAACGGTACCTGGTTTTCCCAGGAAGCCTGTGGTGAAGACATAGGCGATTTCCAAGGAGCTCCTGGGAAAACCAGGACAGGAACCGTTTTAACCGTGCGTTCTCTCAAGACCAGTGAACCGACTATTACGTCTATGACGCATCAAAATTCCCGCGGTTTCAATGATAAGTGCATCCCAGCTGGTTTCGCCCGATAGGTACCAACCAAGAAGCTGTCGTTGGTTTCAGTCGTGTCCAGCCTGGCGAGGAGGTACTTGATGGCGGCGGTGGCGGCCTGCCACGGCGCCACGCCGCGCTCCGCCTTGAGGCTCTGCAGGAAGGGCAGGGCCAGCGTGTAGTCGAGCTGGCCGGCGCGCGCCAGGGTCAGGGCGTCGTTGAGCAGCTGGGCGCGCCCGGAGGCGGGGAGGGCGGCCGGGTCGGCGGACAGGGCAGCGGCCAGCAACTGCCAGTTCTTGGCGTCGTAGTTGACGCGGAAGTAACCTGCAGGAAGGGTCCACTCATCATTTCAATTGGATGCACCCCTGTACAAACTCTAAGTGTGTACATAACATGCTCCAGGTTAAGGCATGCTTGCAAGTACACTCCACCCGAAGCATACCTGGCAAGTACCTGCATGAACACTGCTACTTTGCGTCACGCATAAGTATGTATATATAATGTAAGGTATGCGCCACCTGGTCCATGCATGCGTGCTTCAGCCTGAAGCATGCCATGTGCGCACTTGAGTTTGTGGAGCAGAAGTAAGACTATGAGAATAAGAGAGTCGTGATCAAGGGCAATATTTTTTTCGGAAAAGGCAGGTTATCTTGCAATTTTTTTCGACAGAGGGTACATCAACGTCAACCAGCACTTCTTACCCAAAATTTTGGCTAGGAAACTTACCAGACGCAAAATTGGTCGAGAAAAGTGTTCCTCACCGAAATATGGGTAACGAAGCATTCCTTCCCCAAAATTTTAGTCATGTTTACGACTCTGTCATTCTCAGCGAAGAACAACCACGGCAATTACAAGTGGCAACTCATGTAGGTGTCAAATGCGGGATTTCTTATCATGGTTTTGAAAGAGCAGGCTAGAAACCTATATTTGGGAATGAAACCTCACCGGTCTGCTTCGGGTTAACGTAAACCCACTCGTCAGCGGTCGCGCCCGTGGAGAGGCTCGCGAAAGGCTGGTCCGGGGCGAGCCACCCCTGCGGCAGCGTGGTGCTGAAGTCCTTCTGGGTCTGCGTCGTGACGACCAAGGGGATCCACCACTTCTGGCCCACGTTGGAAGCGTTCTTGGGCGGCGCGTACAGGAAGCGCTGCTGCTCGAAGCGGACCTTGCCGGGGTTCGAGTAGTCCCGGGTGGCCTGCAGCACGGGCACGCCGGGCTGCTCCGTCCACGTGGAGGCCACCTCGGAGAACGAGGTGCCGCCGGGCAGCTGGTGCAGGTTGCTGAGGGTCGCCTCCGCGTCCATCGCGGTGAACAGCTTCTCGGGGTCCGCGTTGGCGTACATGCTGTCAAGGGTCAGTTCGGATAACTTCAGAAAAAAAACTGTCTCGAGAAAAGTTATATTTTTGGTGCTTTTTTTTTTTCAAATTATGCTGTGCTGAATGTTTCTTTCATTATAAAGCCACTGAAAAGTCAAACATGAGTCAAACGTGGTCCAAGCCGCACCGCTGGTTTGAGTTTTCAGTGATATCACTGAAATCACTGAATCACTGAATTTGAAAAAAAAAGCACCAAAAATATAACTTGATGTCGACATCACATTTTGGTGAGTACTTATTTTTTAGCCACGTACGTACTTGTCAGACAGATATCGCTTCATGCCTTTTTTGAATACTTCAGGGGTGAGAGCGTAGTAAAACATTCGTATAACGGAGCCACCTGCAAACATAGATGTGGACGTTTAGAATTTAACGGTTTCCGAGGAGTCAATAAATTGAGGTGGATCGTGAATCTAGTAAGTAGGCCTAAGTCAAATTTAGGGCATATGTCAAAAGCGGAAGTAGCTTGTGGATTTAAGTTACACTGGTCCTGAAATGGTGAGATCTCAGACCGGTTTTGCCATATTTGCGTAACAGCCATAGGTTACAAGTCGAGGAAACAGAAATCAGTCCCTACCCGGGAACCACTTCGGCATTTAGAACGAAATTTCCACAGCCTTTTCGTTCCGGAGGACGCGACATTCAAATGGTGCCTGATTTGGTTCAGGGAGGTAAAAATGTGGCATGTCATAGCCCTAGTGTCGTGTGTAGTAACTTTATCATTCAGAATTTCCTGTTTATTTTTGCACTCAATTTCTCAAGGGTTGGCGATCTATCGAAGCTTTTCGTCCTACCCTTCTTGTAAGATATGGAGCCGAAATGGTCGTTGATGTCGCTGACGTTGCTTTTGACAGGGCTGCTCATGGGGATCTCGGTCTCCTTCACGTCGCTCTCCATCGCGGTGTGGTAGAAAGTGGGCAGCATTTTGTCTTCCAGGTTCCATTCCGGTCTGATCTGAAAGGAAACAGCAACTGCCGTCTTGTAGAGCTCGCTCAATCTCGTCCCGTGCCAGGGTCGAAGAGGTCTTTTGTTAAACCGCTCCATTAAACGCTTCCTTTGCATTAGCGAAAAGTGATTAATTTAATAAAACATCTTAAAAGCAAGGTTAAATTTTGAAGAGACCTACTTTTCTTTGAGTCAATTTTGAGTGCAAGAGACGATGGAAATAAAAAGAACCCACAGCGCACAATGACGTAGAATAATGCGACAGTTGTATATTTTTTTGGGCAAGCACACTTGTCGCACTTTCCCTGTTTCGCAAGTTGTGGCGAGCCAGAGTTTTCAAATATATCAGGCGATATCTTCGAGGCATAGAAGTTCAAAAGTTTTCTGCGACCTCACGTGTCTTTTTCAAACACTCATCATTGTTTACCTGGTTGCAGATCATGTTCTCGTAGAAGGTGGCGAACCCCTCGTTGAGCCAGGTGTGCGACCACCAGTCAAGAGTCACCAGGTCTCCGGTCCACTGGTGTCCGAACTCGTGGCAAATGAGAGTTGCGATGTCCTCGTACGCGGGTGTCGTAGTGTCTGCGGTCACGATCAGATCTGGCTCCCTGCATCATCGAGTCAAGGTATAACGGAGACGAATTAATATTTAACCTCCATGTGTGCAATCAATATACTCTTCAGTGCCCATGTGAGCTCAGTAAACACCTAAGATTATGTGAACCCTCGGGGCCTTAACTCTTTAAGTCACTGTGTCATTCCAGAAGGACGTTCCCTATCATTGCCCCTAAAACCCATTCAAACAACTGTTTCCTCATCAATGTTGGTCTGAAACGCAAGTCCCGGGTGTCCTGAGTGCAATTTGAAATTTCCAGACCGGAAATACTTCGCGCGAGTCCGGTGGGGGGCGATGCCTAAAGCCGGTCATCGCTCTCCTGGGCAGCTGAGTGCCGAGTAATGTTTCTTGGACTGCCATTCTGGGCAGGGGGTTTATTCTTGTATGGAAAGTGTCAGAATTTGTAGATAAAGTGTCACTCTTTCAAGTTGTGGTCCAAGATACGAGAAAACTTGAATAGTTTCCGCTGTGTGATAGTTTTGTTTTGAATGTCATTCCTATGGGACGCTGTGACTTAGCGTTTCTTCAGAGGCTTCGTTTGTTTTCCCTTGTGGGTGAAACAATTAAACTACAGTTGGATCAAACGGAAAAACACGCAATGCTTTTTGGTCAATTAGTTTCCGAGATATGGATTGTCCTTCCAGAAGGACATTGTGACTAGGTGAAAAACAAGGTATCCACTTTTGGCGTTCCAAAGGATGATTTTGTTTAAAAATTGGTTTGAATTGATGCGTCTGCCACTTTTGAAGACACTTATATGTCACACTTTAGAAAAATTCCAGGAAATGAATGATTTTACATGTTCATCCGAAAAGTGACTTTTTGGTTCATGCTTCATACAGACTAGTTACACCCGATATTTTCTTGCATGGGTCAAATAGACTTGCACGGCGGAGGATGACCCCAAAAACACCAGAATACCATATCAGAATGGCACTATTGTCAGTTTGACCTCAAGACCTTGCTTTCCAGCAAGTCACAATGTCCTTCTGGAAGGACTATCCATAACTCGGGAACTAATCGACCGATTTTGATGATATTGACATTTTTGGATTCAGAAGGGCTTCGGCATTCAGACTATGGCTCTGTTCATTACTTTTTGGCCCATATTCTGGGTGCATGACTTAAAGGGTTAAAGCACAGGAAATCAGAGCGTTTTTCTCTCTGTTCCGTCGGAGCGGCTTACTGTACGAGTGGTCGATGCCTGAACTCACCAGAACGACACAAGGCCCCAGTTTTCCATAGCACCTCTCGGGAAGTCCGGAATGGCCGCTTGGTCCATCTTGGTCAGCGTGTACGGCACCCCGTTGAACTCCTCCAGGACCTTCAGTGCCTTGGGGCCAACGTCCTGGCTGAGGCTGCCGCCGGTAATGATGTCTTCGCGCGCCCACGTCGTGAAGTTGTGGTCGCTGTTGGTCAGATTCTTGAAGTCGGACACGAGGAAGGCGACCAAGTAGGAGGACATAAGCGGAGTGGTCATGAACCTATCCACCACCAGGTCGTTGTCACTGCGGAGCACGAACAAAATACCTTATTAAACCTTCGTGGTGTAGAATGTCATTTTAGGAGAAAGGGCTGATAATTGGTTGGGTCTAGCTTACGTGAAAAAATGTGAGTACATTATTGTCAATCTAATCCGGTCTGAGGTCCACAGTGTCCACTAGTGCGGAGCTAAGACAACAAAGGTAAAATGTTTCACATATTGTATAAAGTACGTGGTTTTATCCACCCCTTCCCCTTTCCTGAGACTCGGGACTCTGGTGCGCTACAAGATCTGATGTGCGCTTATTAAAAATCGGTAGGAATGTCATTCGCTGAGCAAGTACAGTCCTAGGTGTGTACTTTAGAAAGCACACTCTCCTCTCTGGACCCTACTGGATCTTAGAGATGTATACTTGTCTATCACAGTCCAATAAATGTGTACTTGTCTATCACACTCCAATAAATGTGTACTTGTTAATACACTCCTATATTGGTGTAAAACAAAGTTGATTATGTGCTGTGTCCAAATGGGACACGGTTTGCTCATTTCCTCTCGCGGGGCCCCGGGAGCACAGCGCCTGTGAACTCGTGGGTAGGCAAGCCCGCAACACACCTGTGCTCTACGGGACAGCCTTTGCCATTCTGGCAGGCGCTCTAGCAAGGCCGGAGCCAAAATTCGTTGGTGGACTGAGAAATAACCGGAGCAAGAAATAACAATGCTTCAAACGGTTCTAGAGCCTTATTTTCGCGCTAAGATCAGTATTATTTAAGGCATTCGTGCTACGAGCAGGCTATTTAAAGCCACACAAAGATCCTAGTTTGTGTCTCCCCATAAGTTTGCGTAACAGCCTTTCCGGAGTGGTTAGGGTTGTCCTCGTACCAAATGAATATGCACAACAATAATTTTGTACGCAGTCTCACATGATTTGAAACATGCGAATTTTCTCGTCCAAATGTGTACGTAAATTCGTGCCAAAATGCGTACAAATTTGTACTAATTGTGAGACCACGGAGAAAAAGTGTTCGAAAGCATTTTAAGGTGTACGCACGCAACACTAATAGCTAGAGCCCTTCCCACACGGCACAATCAATTAGGATCTGTCTGACTCACATACATGGTAAATATTCCTTCTTAAAACGCGTCGGGTTGACACCGTTTTCCATTTTGTACTTACGACTCAACTTGGCTCTGGCGGGGCATGTTGGAAATAGCCATCAGTGCTGGGTCGTGCTCTATGAAGATGTCGTAGCGGGCCTTGAAGATTGGCTCATCCCAGCAGGGAAACGCGCGTCGGGCCCCATTCGGCTCAAAATGTGATGTAGCAAGCCATCTGCAGGCGAGCAAATTAGCATGTACAGTGTTTACGGTTCCCACCATGAAACCTGTGCCAAAAAGCTCCCCGAAACGGCAGGACAACATTTTGATAACTTCAACAACTATCTTTTCACTGAAGTGGGCGAAGATTTTATTATGATCCCTTGGTTTGTTTAGATCTTTCAAGGCAATTTTTAGAGACAATTGAGATAAAGTGGATTGCATAAGGTTCTTTACCCGGAAACAACCCAATAAAATCTTAAGATCGGAAACGATGCGATAAGATCTTCAGAATACGATGGCTCCTAGGAACAAAGGCCGATATCGCGCGCTCCCTGGTAGGGCACGATGTCCCGCGCTGCCTGGTAGAAAGATCGATGTCAAGCGCTGTCTGAAACGGCCATGTTTGACAAGTTATATCTCTCAAACCGTTAGAGTTAGATCGGTACTGTAAGCGAGCCGATTGTGGATCTAAGTTGGAACTAAAATCGGCTCGCTTACAGTACCGACCTAACTCTAACGGTTTGAGAGATATAACTTGTCAAACATGGCCGTTTCAGACAGCGCTTGACATCGGTCTTTCTACCAGGCAGCGCGGGACATCGTGCCTTCTACCAGGGAGCGCGCGACATCGGCATTTGTTCCTAGGAGCCTCGTCGGCCTTCTATTATAGAAGGCCGACGATTTCTCACCTGGTTTCATTGCTGCTTGTTGTATAGTGAGAGCGGTAGAAACCATCCATGTCGTCGTTCAGAGTGCCCGAATACTGCGAGATGTTCAGAATGTACCGCGAACCTGCTTCCAGTGACTTGTCCAAAGTGAACTTGGCGAACTCCAGTGTTGTGTTGAATTGGAGATCAGTAATGCTAGCGAACTCTGAGGGACTTGAATCGTCTGAATCTTCATACACCTGGCAGTCCTCTTTGGTGTAGTTCAGTTCTTTGGAGTGAAGAATGATCTTGTTGGTGCTGCTGGTAGCATTGAAGGAGATAACAGCCTTGCCGTCGAAATCGAAGTCATCATATAGATGAGGTGTCAAAGTCAACTGGTGGCAGCAGGGGTACGAGTAAGATATTACGATTCGGTGCACTGCACACTCAATGAGATCAGATGAAAGACGAAAGACTTTTCGAAGAACGAAGCGTGATTTCCAGTTATGGCAGACAGAAGGTGGTTCGCCACTGAGCACTATCAGCCGCCCCCTTACCGAATTTTCATAGACACGAAGTCTAACATAGACGAAGGCACGTCATAGCAATGTGTGGACACTAAATGTTTTTATATACATGTTGTACATTACATTGAACTTTTCATCAATATTTGTAAAGTGATTCGGAACATATTGAAATAGGTGCAGATAAATATGCAGAAATGCAGAAATAGGTGAGAACATCGTGCGAATTACTCTGCTCAAAGAACTGCGACGTATGTCTGAAATTGTGAACAACATTTGGTGTAAGGAACTTACACTGTAAAATGTGGGAAGCAGGCTGTCCGGAAGCCTGCCAGGGTCCGCAATGTCATTGACTGATGTAAGAGCCCTCTTCCGGAGCTTCCGGTGGGAGCGTGGCCTCAGGGGGTCCACTATGGAGAGCCGGCCGGGGTGGCTGCGGTCAAACAGTGGCGTGGCTGGCCTGCCTCGGGGCGAGTGGCCGGTGGCTATGCCGGCCGACGGAAACCCCGTCGCCAGTGCTGTCGCCACCAGAACGAACAAAACAGCCAACATATTTGACGGTGGCTACTGCAACAGAAACAGTTGCACGATAGAGGATGGGCCATAGTTTGCTCTCTGAAAGTTTCGTAATACAGGTCAGTTTCATCATCATTTGTCGTTTGAAAACATTGTGAATCTCATTTGAGTAAAATTTCAACTTGGGACACTAAATTTGTACAGGCAACAAGTTTGAACGCTGCAGGATGGGATAGGCTACGTATCAATGCTCTCTTTGAGCCTGCCCCGACCATTCCAACACCAACACGAAAACCTCTAACGTAGAGTGCCAATAAAAAATCCGTTCCATGTACCCTACCTTCGCAATACGAAACTGGCGACACTAACTTTGAAAACTGAAGATGAATGTAAGGAGAGTGTCCATTATTTTGTGAAAACCTCTTCAACCTGTCCATAATAATGTTGTTCTGCATGCCCGCTGTACACACCACACACTTTATGTTTTTGTACACATTTTGTACGTAACGTCACATTTTTAGGTAAGGTGGGAGTTTTGAGAAGGGCAATGGGCCTAATGCACCCTAAATTTCAAGCTCTTTCAATCGGTGCAAAGCGTTTTGAGAAACACAGTCTAGTTTTCATAATCTGGAAGAAGTGCTCAACCTCTGCACTGACGGCGCGAGCATCGCTTCATGCTCTCCCTAGGCCGATGCCACCCCCTGGTTCAAATTTGTACGAGATTTACACGAAAATAGGGAAATATGATATGTAGGTGCAGTCTTTCACCGAAAGACGTTAAGAGTGTAACTCAGCGAAGGAAGCGTGGCTGTCAACCTCATGCGACAAAAAATAAGTTCGTGCAGCTTATTTACCGAACAGATTTTGCTCTAACTTTCAACGAGCATGTCGAACAACATTTTTGATGTCTTGAAGAGGTTTCCTCGAAATGATCGATACTTATCTCCCATCAAGCTTCACAGTTTTCAAGGCTGCATCCTGCGTTAATCGCCTGGCTGACGTCCTTCCGACTCTACTTCTCGGCATCGTGACTGTGCAGAATAGGACTCTGCTCTTAGTGAGTAAGTCTAGCGATGCCGGTACGGCAAAGCTTGCATGATGGCACTAATGATAATCGGCACCTTACGAAGTAGAGCCCAATCGTGTCCCTCTGACGCCAGTCTGGCTTGGCAAAGATCGCAGAGGTCGACGCCGTTACAAACTTGTGCACTGAGGGTGGAATGGAAATGGAACACCATTCAAGGAACGTGACATCATGTTGAAACGAATGTGACAGTCACGTTCCTTTGAGCATTGTGTCACATTGGTATGGATGTGAATCTGCCATAAAATTAGCCAATTAGCTAAATTAGCCAAATGAGCTAATTCACATTCGTTTGAATGTGACACTTTGTCTTTAAGGTGATAAATTTACCGCCTCTTACAGCTGTACCACTACCGCTCTTCGAGGGGTACGAAATCGGCGTTACATAGTATTGCCGCCCATTTGCTCTCCAATCTGAATATTATTTGGTAAAGAAAACCGGCGGTGTTGAACCTCTTAAAAAGTGCGTTATCTTGAAACAGCCTGCGTGAGACCACCACCTTTAGCTTTGGGGCAGTGGCGGATCCAAAGGCGACCTTTGCGAGGGGCAAAGCAACACTTTTTGCCCACATACTGGGGAAAAGCATGGCTTTTCGCCTACTCACATGGGCAAAGTATGGCTTTTGGTCTGTCTTTCAGGGGCTGTCTTACTTCTGGCATAAGGCCTGTCGCCTTCCCTGTGGATTTGCGCTTGTTTTTGGGTGCTGTCAAGGAACACAAACAAACTCGCCGGTATGTGGCCAAAGCGTGCACGTGGCGACAGGCTATGCGGGAGCGAGACTTCTTGGTTGAGCAGAGTTCAACGCCATTAAATGGCTGCCAGGAAATTGACCCATTCACATGGAATTTTGTCAGTTCTTTCTGACTGGGACAGCGGCAGAAGTTCACGGTTAACTTACGGAAAACGACGTCATGTCCCCATGAGGAGGGTCGGCGAAGTCCAGCCGACCAGTCGGACCTCGCTTCCTAAATTTCCGAAAGAACGCAGTTGAGGTAAACAATGGACGCCGGACCCTGATTGTGACTCGCGCGGCGCTGCGGCGCTGGTTCACGGAGAAGTGCTGATCTTCACGGCACCGCCAGTAAGACTCGACACTGCGAGTGGGAAAAAGGGGAGTGGGGGGCACAGTGCCGCCTCCTCCAGTTCCTGGAGGACAGGGTCTAGAGTCCAGGCCGGTGGCCCGGCCACAAGCCAGACATCAACGGCCCGGGCCTCTGACGCGTGCCGTGCCCGTAGTCTCGGCGCGCGGCCGCTCGCGCTCACACGGTCGCTTCCGCCTGTACACCAAATCCTTCGTACCGATTTGTTTGAGACCCATCTGTCTTTAATACAAACCAAATTTTTCGTGTAGTCAGTGCATAGTGAGCAAAATCAACAAAGACGGACCACTTCTTCCAGCAACCCTGTACGATTTGCCTGATTTTTTGAATGCTTAATAACTAACTAAAGAAAAGTCTAAAGCATATCGGTTCCCAACCTTTTTCGGTTCGCGACCCCAAATTTGTCGCCAAAAGTTTCCGCGACCCCCAGGAAACATTTCGCGATCCCATAAGCGACCCCTCCTTTAGCATGCCTTTGATACAAAGTGCGATTATCTGCCTTAGTTTGGAAGCAGTATTGTCTCAAATTTGATCAAAACGGTTACAAATGTCTGTGAAAAATCGTGTTTTGGGCCGACTTTAAGCATCCACTGCGTCTGATCCGAGGCGGTATTTCGTCCTCCCTCAACGTGCATGGTCTTGGGACCTTCCGTTAGCATGCCTTTGTTACGGAATGCGATTATCTGCCTTAGTTTGGGAGCAGTATTGCCGCAAAGTTGATCAAAACACGATTTTTCAGACATTTGTGACCGTTTGCGGCAATACTGCTCCTAAACTAAGGCAGATAATCGCACTCCGTAACATAGGCATGCTAAAGGAAGGTCCAAAGACCAATTGCCCGTTGAGGGAGAACGAAATAGCGCCTACGGATCAGACGCAGTGGATGCTTAAAGTCGGCCCAAAACACGATTTTTCAGACATTTGTGACCGTTTTGATCAAATTTGAGACAATACTGCTTCCAAACTAAGGCAGATAATCGCACTTTGTATCAAAGGCATGCTAAAGGAGGGGTCGCGTGGGGTCGCGAAATTTTTCCTGGGGGTCGCGGAAATTTTTGGCGACAAATTCATTGCGTTTGGATTTTCAGTGCATGCATTAGCATCGGGCATTTTCGGGACGCATTGCACGTAAGGTGATGACTGATGCATTGCACGTATCATGCGATATCTCAGTGCATTGCACCATACGTGCTATATTCAAAGCGTTTGGAATCGCAGTGTGTTTTCATTCAGGGTCGTAAAGTTGTTACAATTTATTCATTTGGCAAATACCAATGGTGAAAGAATTGCTGGTGTGTGAGTTAGAAGGAGTGGATACTTCAAGAACAAACTCAATTATTTAAATTAAAAAAATGACTATTCCGCTTTTTTTGCCAAAATTCCCTTGTTTTAATTTTTAAACGTGACAACGGGTCTCAAGTCGTCACAATACTTGATAGGAAGGCATGCGCAGCTGGATACACGCTCAGACCTATAAGGACTTTATTCTCTCTTGCTTATAGCGGTTTTTGAGCAAACGTAAAATGGCATAGTTTCCTGCAATAGCACCATTTTGATCGTTATAGGGATATAATTGTCATAGAGCATATAGAAATTGAAAAGTTACATTAAATGACATTAAGCCCGGTTAATGGACTAAAAAAATTATAAACGAACAAAAAGTAAAAATAGCCAAAGAGAAAATAGTACAGATTACGTTTGCACAAAAACCTTTATGGCAAAAGATAAAAAGTCAATACGAGTCTGAGAGTGTACACGTTTAAGACAGCAAATTCATCACTGGTAAAACTAAAGCGTAGTATTACCCAATGTTTTCAAGCGCAATCAGGTTACGCTTGAAATCAAGCGTAACAGGCTCATCCGCCAAGATTCCCCCTATCTAAATGCATGGGGGAATTTCTAGTCTATGCTTGATTTCAAGCGTAACGTCTTCAAGCGTAACTTTATGCTTGACTCAAGCATAGAGTTACGCTTTAGTTTTACCAGTGATGGTTGATACATTTGTTTTGAGCTCAAAGATCGTTTTGCGCACCAAAACCTTCAAACACAGTTCATCCCTGCATTTAATTGGGCGAAGGTACGTTAAATAGAACACGAAGTAGAACCAGAGCGAGGAGGACTGAAGCGCTGGCTGTCGTGGAGGCCGCAGAGGGTTTGCTGGTGGAGGTTTGGGGAGTAGTGGGGTTGGCTGGAGCTTGGGTGGGGTTGTTTGGGGCAAGAGTGGAGGACATCGTCGGGGGGGACGTGGGGGTGGGGCATGGGGGAATGTTGGCTGCGTAAAGCCACAAGGACACTTTCAAGAGGTACTTGTCGGCCCACGACTGCAGCTCCGTTTCGGCGGACTGGAAAGAGGCCTGGAGCGTCGTCCATTCAGGACTGCCCTTGTACTTGGCCTCCGACCAAGACCGCACCTGAAAAAAAATCGACAACACGTCGTTGAGAGAAGACGCGCTTCCGAATAAAACTGGGCATGCTTGAGCACTAAATCCTGTTGCCAACTGCGGACTTACCTCATTGAATTCACTCCTAGCCCTGATGTCACGGATAAGACCATCCAGAACCTGCACGTCGAAATAATTTCCGTACCTGGGAGGAAAAAAAGTTGCGCAATTTCTCGTTAGTTGTGCTTTGTCGACACCTTTCGCGGATCGCGGTCCGTGTTGGAAACTTCCACTCACGCTTTACGGATGGCATCAGCATTCTCTTCAACAAACTGGAGAATGACCCCATGGTTGTCCAAATGGTCGTAGAAGGCATTAAATAACATGATCCCGTCTTTGGAGTTGTATTTCATGGAGATAGCATCCGCCATTAGGCTGCAAGTACATTCATCAAAAATGTTGGCATGCTTCGTAATGCACTCAAAATTATTGATTTAGGAAGAAATTTGCGCAAACATAGTACAAAAAAATTCTTTTATATTACGAATCTGTTTCGGCGTGTCTTTGCAAGTTACAATGAAAAAGTTTCATAATGTAAAGTAAAAAAAGGCCACGCAACATTTTTGCACAAAATTCTTCGTATTATAAAGAAATTCTGTTCGTTTTCTTCGCAAAACTTTTAGAGTGTAAGGTTAATGGCACAGGAAAACGACAGACTGCGAGTCAGAGGGCATTATCCTCATTACCTTTGGAGCAGCGACTTGTCCGCACTGCAGCCCAGGGCTGAGGCATAGGTGTACCGGAGGTTCGCGTCCGTCTCTGCAAGCCACTTCTGCCTCATGTTCTCGAAAGTGGTGGCGTCTGAGCCGCGGACGCCGTAGCACAGCGTGGTGGACTTGGTGTCTACCTCTAGCCTGCGAACAGAATTCTCGTGCGATGAGTTAGATAGATACACCTGCACACAATATTTGTTTTCGTGGTCACATTTACGACGGTGAAACTGTTTTGTAAACAGAAATAACGCCAAATTGCTCGCTGCCTTGGATACGCTCACAAATAAAAGTAATCGGAGGAATGCTCCTGGGCCGCAACCACATAATTTTGCGCCGCACTGATTCGTAAATTGCGAACGATTTGGCTGAAAGGCGTTGCGACGAATACAGGCCACAATGCAGACACATCTGATTTACACGAGTTAAGTCGTGTAAGTTCTTAAGCCGTCTTAAGTTGAACGGGTTGTCCGAGCGTACACTGTAAAAATTTGTTCTCCCTTTGGGTGACATTCCCATAGGCTCCATCGCCTTTCGATTTAAAGTGTTATTGCAAACCGAAAATTTGAACTTATTTCGAATTACAAACAAAATTCTCCGGGATTTTGACATCACTGATGAACCAAAACTGTATGCCCACTCACGGGTTGCGGCTGGCGTCCGTCAGCCAGGCTTTGAGTGCTGCGCCAGCTTCCGAGAGGCAGTCGGTGTTGCCAGCGAGGCATGCCAGGCTGGTCACAACGTATCGCAGGTAGGCATCTTCGTGTGCCTCGGAGTCTTTCTTTCGGTAGCCCACTGCGGCATAGGCGTCTGCAGTGATGTCCTTGATCAGAGACTGCGGAAAAGAACGAAAGGAAAGAAGATACTTGTATTATACGCGAGCAGTTTCATCGCAAAGAATTTAAGGGAAGGCTTCCAACATTTGTTTTCTGCCAAAGACTGAAGAACAGAAACAAAAAAAAAGTATTTCACTGCTGCGGGCCATAGTTCCCACTGCAATAGGTGTGCTACTTTCTCTACAAATTGAAGTGTGTACTCAGTATGCATCTACAGATGCATACTTATAAGTACACACCTACAGATGCATACCTAGCTGAGTACACATCTAAAGATGCATACCTGTTAAGTATGCATCTGTAGGTGCAAACTTGGCAAATATGCATTAGTAGGTGTGTACTTGTCACCATGTAAATGCCTAGTATCAAGTACACATCTACAGATGCATACTTGGCTGAGTACACATCTACAGATGCATACTTGGCTGAGTACACATCTACAGATGCATACTTGGCTGAGTACACATCTACAGATGCATACTTGGCTGAGTACACATCTACAGATGCATACTTAACAGGTATGCATCTGTAGGTGTGTACTTATAAGTATGCATCTGTAGATGCATACTGAGTACACACTTCAGTTTGTAGAGTTTCCTTCGTGCAAATAAACAATGATGTATAAATGGACCGAGACCAACACAGGTTCAAAATTGTAATTTAAGCGGTGTTTTTACTAAAAACTCCAGTAAGTACTATGTCACCCCACGAACAAAGCAAAAATGCCCAGTACAACCTATCCCAAGGGGAATCAACTTTGAATTTGTACAAATTTTTGAATTCGACACGAATTTTGGTATAAATTTGACTAATTTTCAAAGAATTTCTTTAAATTTTGTCGAAATCCCATGAAGTTTGAAGAAATGCAACGGAAATTCAAGATCGATCATAAATTTCGGTTTTCAACATTTTTTTAAAACTTGTTTCCCATGGTCGCAGCTAGCTTTGCACTTTACCAAGAAGCTGTCGTTGGCTTCGGTCGTGTCCAGCCTGGCGAGGAGGTACTTGATGGCGGCGGTGGCGGCCTGCCACGGCGCCACGCCGCGCTCCGCCTTGAGGCTCTGCAGGAAGGGCAGGGCCAGCGTGTAGTCGAGCTGGCCGGCGCGCGCCAGGGTCAGGGCGTCGTTGAGCAGCTGGGCGCGCCCGGAGGCGGGGAGGGCGGCGGGGTCGGCGGACAGGGCAGCGGCCAGCAACTGCCAGTTCTTGGCGTCGTAATTGACGCGGAAGTAACCTGCAGAAGGGCTCACTCATGACTGACCGGAAGTAAGATGAAAAAAAAAGAAACTACTCTTACGACCCTCACCGGTCTGCATTGGGTTGACGTAAACCCACTGTTCAGCGGTCGCGTCGGTGAAGAGGGCCGCGTAGGGCATGTCCGGGCCGAGCCACCCCTGCGGCAGCGTGGTGCTGAAGTCCTTCTGGGTCTGCGTCGTGACGACCAAGGGGATCCACCACTTCTGGCCCACGTTGGAAGCATTCTTGGGCGGCGCGTACAGGAAGCGCTGCTGCTCGAAGCGGACCTCGCCGGGTTTCGAGTAGTCCCGGGTGGCCTGCAGCACGGGCACGCCGGGCTGCTCCGTCCACGTGGAGGCCACCTCGGAGAACGAGGTGCCGCCGGGCAGCTGGTGCAGGTTGCTGAGGGTCGCCTCCGCGTCCATCGCGGTGAACAGCTTCTCGGGGTTCGCGGTGCTGTACATGCTGTAGGAGCACAACAGAGCTGTTCGATATTGAAGAAAAGTGCTGTCTTCAAATGAGATTGATAGTTCAGATCTGATAATTGAGGGGGAGCTTTGCAAAAGTATAGTCGACACAAGCATGGTCCAAATGCATGCATTCTTCATCAAAATCCGAAACGGTGGATGCATTCGAAATGAGCACGACTTCACAAGGGTAGTTTGATTTTAAGAGAAGTGGGAAATGTTAGCCCACTGTACATGACGTACTTGTCTGACAGATATCGCTTCATGCCCTTTTTGAATACGTCCGGGGTGAGAGCGTAGTATAACATTCGCAGAACAGAGCCACCTGCAAACAGAGAAGTGGGCGTTTAGAATGCAATACTTGCCAAGGAACCTAAAATAAAACGATAGATTACGACGGCCAGAATAACCTGACCATCAGGCCCTCTTCACGTGGTAGAATCTAGATGCTACCCTCGATTGCGCAGTCTTCGCCTTCTCACTATCTCTAATCGGAGCTTAAATGATCCAGATGATGCATCATGTCTGGTCTGAGTAGCTTTGGAGACTTCGAAACCAAGCACAGATTTTGAAATGCACGAAGTCTTACGGAGCTTATCATGAAAATGAGCTTTGTTGGGCGAAACCCTCTGCATAGTTGGGCACGAACTCATGAACATCACTCGCAAGCTCCATTTCATGCCAAGCTATGCACGAAAAACCACATAGTAGTGTTCTTAGGGTTGGAACAGGCAGCGCAGGCGCACCGTCAGGCACTTTTCGTCGTACCCTTGTCGTAGGATATGACGCCGAAATGGTCGTTGATGTCTTGGGCATCGCTCCTGACAGGGCTGCTCATGGGGACCTGGGTCTCCCTCACGTCGCTCTCCATCGCGACGTGGTAAAATGTGGGCAGCATTTTGTCTTCCAGGTTCCATTCCGGTCTGATCTGAAAATAAATACCGACCCGACTTGGAATAATTCTGTGTTTAAGAGAAGCTGTACATGAAAGGAAACCAGGGCTTCGACAAGCGACTTGTGTTTTTCTTTTCTTTCGGAAAAAATACACCAGTCGCATATTTTTGCCGTTTGGCTCCACTGCATCGCCGTAGTTTACAACTGCGAGGACGGATCTTTGAGGGAAAGAAGTTTGGAATTTTACAGCGACCTCAAGTGCCGTAGCTAACCCAAACACTGTCATTTTCGGCTTTTATGTTTACTTTTAGGAAAGAGGGAGCAAGGATGATCAAGTCGTCAAGCCTGATACGTCTAAACGTTTACCTGGTTGCAGATCATGTTCTCGTAGAAGGTGGCGAATCCCTCGTTGAGCCAGGTGTGCGACCACCAGTCAAGAGTAACCAGGTCTCCGGTCCACTGGTGTCCGAACTCGTGGCAAATGACGGTTGCGATGTTTTCGTACGAGGGAGTGGTAGTGTCAGCGGTCACGATCAGATCTGGCTCCCTGCATCATCGAGTCAAGGTTAAGGGAGAACGGGTTGACATATTTTACAGTCTGTTCTTCCTCAAAGCTTTCACGGTTAAAGAACCGCCTAGAAATCTAAGGACAAGCTCCCGTTTCATTTCTAAGGATTTAGAGTGAATTTTCGACGCTGTCGAAATTGAAATGACGTTACAAAAATGGATTTGTCTCGACGAGACTTAATGTCAAATGTCATTGAACTTTCGAAGTACGTTCCAGGTCATTTTGGCCAGTTTACAAATTTAGAACTTCTTGAATTTAGAACTTGAACTTTGAATTTCTTTATTTTCCATCCAGTCCTTTGAAACGTGTTGACATTTCCATTTCACGAATTGTCAAATCCATTTCTGAAAAACTATATCAGTTTGCACTCTTAGATAATGCTTTCAAAACCCGTAGAAACGAAAATAAGGCATCCTCTTGGATTTCAAGATGGAACTTTTACCGTGTTGGTTCGTACTTCGTGAATGCACCTCTGAGGAAATGCCACAAGAAGTGATCAGTGCCACTTTCTCTCACTTCTGTTTGAGCATCTTCTCCCAGTAGTAGGCGATAGAACTCACCGGTAGGTCACAAGACCCCAGTTTTCCATAGCGCCGGCAGAGAAGTCTGGGATGGCCGCTTGGTCCATCTTGGTCAGCGTGTACGGCACCCCGTTGAACTCCTCCAGGATCTTCAGGGCCTTGGGGCCAACGTCCTGGCTGAGGCTGCCGCCGGCAATGATGTCTTCGCGCGCCCACGTCGTGAAGGTGTTGTCGCTGTTCGAGAGGCTCTTGAAGTCCGAGACGATGAAGGCGACCAAATAGGAGGACATGATCGGAGTGGTCATGAACCTATCGACCACCTGGCCGTTGTCACTGTGGGGCATGAAAAAAATACGTCATTTCACCCTCGTGGTCAGCAATGTCTTCTGGGATTGGCTGCGGCTACACGCTGAAAACCTTCCGAAGTATTTTCGACGTATACGTCGAGCAAAACTGGCGTATCTGAGGAGTGACCGCAAGAACCGGCTGATCTGTACGAGCCCCACAAAGAAGGGCCCGTTTTTGATACCTCAAGAAAGGGCGTGCCTAACTTTTCTGTGGACATGAAGATTTTTGTCTTGAAATGCGTTTTAGAAAGTAAGGAGTACGTAGAGTAGTACTCTGAATTTCGACTTAAACGTCGGATACGCCAGTTCTAGTGGTATCCAAACTAGATAGGCCCTTCTTTGTGGGGCTCGTAAAGATCGGCCTTTTCTCACAGATACGCAAGTTTTGCTCGGATAGTGTTTTTTTTTTAAACATAAGCAAGATACAAACTTTTGAGTTTGAAATACGAAGATATAGTCCGTAAATTACGAAATATTTTCTCTGTATGCTTATGTATGCTCAAAATAGTCGGTTTTAACAACGAAATTTTCTTCTCAAGACTTAAACACTTCGTATGGTTTTCTGAGTGTGAAAGTAGGCCAGTCCGTGGCTGAGTAACTGGCTTTGTTATCGTTCTGCCTCACTGGTATTGGTATTTTCTTAGGCTCATCATATGCAGCCCCGTTAAAAATGTGGGTGCACTGTACGTTCTCAGTGTGAGTTGCCGGAGCCAATGTTGGTCGGTGGACTAAACACACAAAACGCTTAGAACGATTCTAGATCTCGACCTTGCTGTGCATTTTGCCATGTTATTAATTCAAGGAATCTCCTTGAATATCCATAAACCTCTGATGCTTCTGCCAGGCTATCCCAAAAGCAAGTGTCTATGCCGTGGTCTTAGGGACGCTGTTTTATAATCACGTTTCCACTTCCAAGATTGATTCACTATGAAGTAGTGCACTTACGAGTCGGCTCGACTTTGGCGGGGCATGTTGGAGATTGCCATCAATGCTGGGTCGTGCTCTATAAAGATGTCGTAGCGAGCCTTGAAGCTGGGCTCATCCCAACAGGGGAACGCGCGTCGGGCCCCCGTAGGCTCGAACTGTGTCGTAGCGAGCCATCTGTAGGTGATCAGTCACCATTAAAACAGTGCAAAAAGCTTCCTGAAAATAATTTTTGATAATTTCACGCAGCTCTATAGAACTGTTGTGACAGCTCGTATGGGTTTGCTTACATTGCACCTCTAGACCTGATTTGGGCACAGACTCTTTACTGTCAGAATATTCAAGGGACGGGATTTGATAATGTCTCACCTGGTTTCACCACTGCTGGTTTTATAAGAGGAGCGGTAGAAACCGTCCATGTCGTCGTTCAGACTGCCGGTATACTTCGTGATGTCTAGAATGTACCGCGAACCCGCTTCCAGTGACTTGTCCAGAGTGAACGTGGCGAACTCCAGTGTTGTGTCGAATTGGAGATCAGTGATGCTGGCGAACTCTGTCCGAGTTCCATCATCAGACTCTTGGTACACCTTGCAGTCATCTTTGGTGTACGTTAGTTCTTTGGAGTGAAGGATAATCTTGCTAGTGGCGCTGACAGCGTTGAAGGAGATAGTGGCCTTGCCGTCGAAGGTGAAGGTGCCAGACAGATGCGGGGTCAAAGTCAACTGGTGACAGCAGGGGTACAACAAAGAGTTATTGGTGCTCACTCAATGAGATCTGTTGAAACCGGCAGAAATGGGTGGGCAGAATTGAAATTTCCAGCAAAGTCGCGGCTCTTGACAGATGGTGGTTAACCATAAAGCACTTGAATAGGGTGATGGCGGAGCAGAATCGAACACCTCAGGGCTGAGGAAAATCGGACACCATATTTTTAAACTGGATTTCCTAATTTTGAGACTACCGTTACGCGTTAGTGAAGGATTCCGATAACCAGTAGCGAGCATTTCCTATCATCAGAATGTGACAGTAGTGTGACAGTCTATGAAATAGGGGTGTCCCCGCTCTTGCAGTGCTCATTTCCTCCCACCCTGACCCTATTTTCATTTCTTGGTTGTTGTTTTCTTCTTTTACAATACAGCCTCTGTGCATGTTTGAAGTTTTCAATGAGGTTCTGATGAGAATCTGCTGAGTGGCACACGGCAAAACCAACGTCCGGGTTTCCCAGGCGCACCCTGGAAAAATGCCCTGTTTTTCCAGGGTGCGCCTGGGAAACCCGGACGTTGGTTTTGCCGTGCAGGCAACGTGTGCAACTTACACTGTAAAATGTTGGCAGCAGGCTGACAGGCAGCCTTCCGGGATCGGCGTCGTCCCTAACAGTAGTGACATCCCTCTCTCGGTGCTTTCGGAGGGAGCGTGGCCTCAGCGGGTCCACTAAGGTGAGCCGGCCGGGGTGGCTGCGGTCAAACAGTGGCGTGGCTGGCCTGCCTCGGGGCGAGTGGCCGGTGGGGATGTCGGGGGATGGAAACCCTGTCGCAAGGGCGGCAGCCACCAGGACGAACCAAACAGCCAACATCTTTGACGGTGGCCACTGCAACAGGAACAGTTATGATACAAGGTGGGCCGAAGTTCGAACCGCGGTTCGAACACCTTCCTTTCACGAGCGAACAAAATGCCAATACAAGATTGGATCTTGGTGGCTCACACAACGATATGGGTGAAAATATTATTCATAATTTGTTGAGGGAACGTTCTGAAATCACGAAATTTGGGGGTCGCTTCAAATAAAGATTTCTTCGGTTCATCCTACGTGACTCGCCTACCTGACGTCCTTCCGCGTCTCCTCTTCGTCGCTTTGTGACTGTCTGCAGAACAAAGCTCTAAGTCGGTAAGACTAGCGTTGTCGGCTTGGCAAAGCTTCCATGAAGACATTGATAATCAGCCCCAGACAAAGTATAGGCCATTCGTGTCAGTCAAGGAAGAGGCCCGCCAGTCTGGCTTAGCGAAGTTCTCAGTGATCCACCCATGCCGCTAAAAAATTGGGGTACACTAGGATGGATCAATCGACGAAAAATTTAAAAACTGGTGCACTGTTGAGAAGCCTTGTCTGAGGATAAGCTTGTTAGAAAATTAACAACAATACATTTATTTGGGGCCAGCTAACCCCGTTCAAGGTACGCCTTCGGGAGCCTGAAAGTCGGTTCTAACGGCGCTGCATTCAAAGATCTTAACAACTTGCCAAGCATCTTTGCCTATATTGTCAAGAAATGATCAACGTCTCTCAGGGAATCTGGGGCACGTGGTTTCTCGACTGAAGAATTAAGCGAACACTCACTGATTAGATTAGATACTTGTGTCACTTGATTGGGTTCTGCTCCCTGCAAAGAGAAAAACGAATTAAACGCCCTGAAATTTGTATTGACTTCTTGAAGTTAATGTTGTCCCTCAAATTTACCCGCAACTAAGGTTGTAGTTACATTAAAAGCTGTAACACATGGGCCATTTTCAATTTTGCAGGTATTACAGGGGGGCAGTCTCGACTCCGAGGAGGGTTTCGGATCAAAATGGCTTTTCAAATATACCTCTCAGAGATAAAAGGTGGAAACCTTATGACAGAATATTAAGAACAAAGCCAAGAAAATATTTTGATTTTGTCTTAAGTCGTGAGGAAGTTATGGGGGATGCAACAAAATGTTCCACATTTCACTGCGTGCGACTTAGGCCTACCTCCGGCAGCTTCGCAACTTTTTAGCAATTCGTTTGCGGAATCTGAAGATCAAAAACCTCTCATTCAATTGACCAAAAAATCCATTTAGCCCTGGGAAAACCTGGGTAAACCCTCATCAAACCCTTCATGTTTGAGTGTGTTTTCAAAAGTGTTCGCTCTCATACTATTTTGCGTACGTGCTTCTTTTGGCAAGTTTGCACGAATTTTTGCACTTCTGTGTACAATGTTGCACGAAAAAGATTGCATGTTTAAAACTGTGACTCTCACAGGGTTGCGACGTAAGTTGAAACTTTGAGAACTTTTGTTAAAATTTTGAGCAAATTACGACCTAGTGTACGTCACAGGATTCCCGGAGTGGGTAACGGTAACCCCTCGACTGGGTCGCTATGAATATAGCGTCAATTGGTGCAATGCTTTTGCATTGCACATGAAGTGCACATTACGATGGGTCCTATGAACAAAGACCGATGTCTTTTGGGTCGCTCGAACAAAGACCGATCTCCATTTCGGCCGTTTCTGCATTCGCCGCTTCTTTTTCTTGTTGTTCTCGCAACAGACATCCAACTCAAACAATAGTTTGAAGGTTTTGTTCCGAACATATTAGAGAATGATTATCTAAAACTCATTAGTGTGGAATCAAAACGTAGAGATTGTTCTGGGACTTCAAAATGAACGCGTTGAGAGGTTAGGAAATGGAGATCGGTCTTTGTTCGAGCGACCCAAAGGAAATCGGACTTTGTTCGAGCGACCCAAAGGACATCGGTCTTTGTTCATAGGGGCCATCGATTTTTTAATGCCTTTCCCATTCCCATACTCATAGGGCATTTACGGGAAGCATTGCACTTATGGTGCGATATCTCAGTGCATTGCACCAGACGTGCTTTATTTATATTCGTACCGTTTGACATCACTGCTGTACCACGGGCAGCAAGTCCTGGCGCTCGCGGTGCGGAGGGCGCCTTCCGCCCAATATGTGCCTGAGCGGTAGATAACCGCGCAGATCTGATAGTCTTTCAGCCAGTCGCGCAAGAAACGCGGGGGTTGACGGACCGAAGTAACCAGACTTTTGCGCTCCTTGGGTATGTCACTGGCTGAGTAGCGTCTACACACCATATGTCTATGAACAATTTTTGATACCAACTGGAAACAGTTCTTAGCATAAATTTGTTAAATTTGTTAACAAATCTGGTGACCAAATTGTGACTAGCTGATTATAATGTGGTCACCATGCCAAAGCCCATAATTCAAGGGGTGATCACTTGGCGTTCTGGTGGACACATTAGTACATGAGTGGCATGAGTACACCTCACAAAACTCAAAAAGTTTGTATTCGTTTTTAGGCTTTATTAAGCGCTTTAGACGATACACAACGCCAAGTCGTGCAAAAATAATTGCGAAGCTAGCTCTTTTTAAACTTGTGAGTACTCTGAGTACGGGCCAATTTGTACACATGAGTCCACTAGTTATTCACCCCTAGCCAGAATTGTTTCCAGTTAAAATGTTGACCCTAAAGAGATCCAAAGACATGGAGTGAAGGCCAGGTTTCAAGGGGCAACCCGGCAACTTTTCCGTTTGGCAAATTGATTCAGTCTTCCCAAAAGAAATTAAATTTGGACGCACACCCGCTACTTAGCTGGAATGAGCGAGCAGAAGTGCACGACGGTAAAAACGGAACCTGGTTTTCCCAGGAAGCCAACGGTGAAGGTATAGGCGATTTCCAGGAAGTTCCTGGGAAAACCAGGAACCGTTTTTAGCGTGATGAGCGCACAAAATTTGTCAAAAATCACAGAATATTCGTCAAAAACACGAATCTTGAACAGTCGTGTAAATGTGACAAGATGATCCAGGAAGCGGAAGAGGGGGAGGGATCCATACAGACCATTTTCCAGGAGAAAGATGATTAAAAAAGCGTAGTAAAAAACACATTACAACTGTTTGGTCATTTCGTAGAGGGGTTCTTCGACTTACCAATTTCTCTTTAATTGGAAAACTGGTCCATCTCAGCAATTTTGGTGCTAAACGACGTGGAATGTAGAGACAAAACAATTAGGACTATAGTCTGAGGTGTAAAAGTAAAAGGAGGTTAGGTTGAGTTGGTTCTTTTTACGCTAGAATCATTGACACGTAATTGGGTAAATAGTTTAAGTTAAGCTTCACCCTTTTCAATCGAGATTTTCTCGAAAGCTGCCGCTGCCAGATCAATAAAGCAGAATAATTTTGTGAGAATATTACAGTAGAAAACTACTTTGGAGATAAGTCAAATTACTCCCTAATTCCGCTTGCTGGATCAATCATTTGGCAGTTAAATTTAGTCTAACAAACGTGTCGCCTCTCTTATTTCCAGGATGGTGCGAGACTGCCGTCTCGCCATGGGCCCACTCGCAGTATTCCTTGCACTGGTGGCCGTGGCCAGTGCCACCACCACTCAACAGCCCGACGACCCGGCTTACGAGTTGACCTTTCCCGAAGACTTCCTCTTCAGCAGCGCCACGGCATCTTACCAAATCGAGGGCGCCTGGAATATAAGTGGTACGGCATTCATCTAAGTTGACGCAAGCTTTTCAAACACAGACACACATTAAAAATCCCGCAAAGAACGCTCTGCGTAATACAAAGAAAACGGCGGCTCCGCATCGCAGCCTACAAATGAGATTATTTCTAAACAATTTTGTTTAAAATAACAAAGGAAAAATCCGTTGCAAGCTGCTTAGAATTTCTTCGTAGGCTACAAAGGATTTTTCCCTCGTAATACAAACAAAACCGTTTGTGTTACGAACGATTTACTTCGCAGGCTGCGAAGCCGCCGTCTTCTTTGTAGCTACAAAATACGTTCTTTGTAGAAGTTGATATCTACAGAACAAGATTTTCTCACGCTTGATACCTACCCTCTCTATTGGCTGCGAACATAATTACAGGCCAAGGATGAATGACGTTATGACGAAGTTAGTTGACGTTTCCGTTATAGTCCAGCGTTAGGTAGACCTAAAAACGCGACATTTCGCCATTACAGGCAAAGTATGACGTCTTCACGTACAAGAAAATTGTCTTGTCCCCCCTAAATGGATTTAATTTGGTCACACGAGGTGTGTGAAACCTTTATTTGGCGTTATGAAAGGCCCATTACAAGGACCTGACTAGCAACATTTATCTTTGACGTTTGTGTTGCTTGGTATCGAAATAGCTGCCTTATCACTCGGCCTGTGACCCGAACGATTAGGCAGATTAGGGTGACTGTTCGCAATGTGCATCACCGAGGCACAAGTCCCATTAATTGGCGTCGCTGTTAAAAAATGTTAAATTAAATACACCTCAACCATCTTTATATGGGCAAACTATCAAAAGTGGCCCAGCCGTCTCTAGCAAGAATAGCGCTTGGGCTGGATAAGCTGGCTCGATATTCACGCGTTCATGCACTTCTCGGGTTGCCTATCCACTTCACTTAAAAAATCTTGGTTGTCACTTGATGATAATTACAAGGCCAGTTTTCGTTATGAAAATATTATCAAACTAGTTGATGACATAGTGGTCACGCCGGTGCAATGAAAGTAATACGAATTAATACCACTGCTGAAAATGTGAAAATATCACCAAGTTGTGATGAAATTGTTATTAATCACAGGTGGTGAAAATGTCACCCACTATTTTGAGATAAAATAACATACTTATAGTACAGTATGGGCACTTCACACAGAACATGTCAGTCGATGAGGCAACAACCTGAAATGTATTAACTTTACACATTCTTCAAGGGGAAAGATTTTGCACGAGTCTGGAATATTTCGCAGGGCTAAATCCCCTAAATACTACGTAAGATTCAGACAGATGACGGGATTTTGTGATAATTTAACCGATTTCGGAGGGATTTCCTCACGGTTCCATCAGATTTCGCGCATATTTAGTCCACTCAAGTCCATAGAAGGATATGGCGCGTGGTTTTCACCCCGATCAGTTTTAGGAAATAGTATACACGGATGGCTTAGTGTTTAACTTAAGTTGCAACATTCACAACGCTCCATACCGTCAGACATCCTTAGAGTTTAATTTTTCGAAAGTTCATCTTGAAATTGTCAGCGCTAGGCAACACCCCATGAGTTTTGACTTCTTATCTGTCTATCCGTATCCACGTGGTTTAGTTGTTTTATGAAGCGCATCCTCTTGGACTGACTATTCGTCAAACAATCACGATTACCTTATATTGCTGCCCTTCAATCTTTACCATGTTCACTTTAAATGTCTACCCCGTCTACTTTCTGATCCGCTCCTAAATTTCTGACCTTTGTGTCACTACTATCGCACTCTTCTTGAGTATGGGTCTGGGTTTTCTTCGACCACCACCTGGTCTTGGCCTTCAAGTAGGAATCGTCAAGTGCCTGCCCGGTTAGCGCGACTCCTTGAAAAAAAGGGCGGTTTTGAAAAACAAGGAAAGGGAAAACTTCAAGGAATTCCTGGAATTGCCCCCTTCCAAGGGGGCTCCCTGTTTTTCCCGGCCCGTCCCTTGTTTTTGGCTCCAACAATTCCAAGGGCCCCCCTTGTTTTTGGGTGCACTTCCAAGGGGGCGCCTTGTTGGTCCTGCCGTTTCAAGGAACCCCCTTTTTTGACCGCAAAAATCGATTACGCGCGGCCACGTCATGAGGGCCCCGTGACGTCCCCCTGGGGGTTTACCATGACGACCCCCCTGTTTTTCCGTGCCCTTTGGGGTGCCCGGGTCCACATGGCCAAAGCCGAAAACCGTTTTCTTTACGTCCCCTACTTTTGGAGATACAGGACGTACCCCGAGGGCCCCCGTCCCAGGGGGAGGAGGGAAATGGTGTTTTTCGAGCCAAAGACTGGCCAGAGCCTACTTGGTGTCCGGGACTTTTGACTTTGGAATCGGTTAGGGGGGGGCCGGCCCACCCGAACCCAAAATTTTGGGCGTTCCGGCCAGCCGTTTGTCCCGGATGGGGTCAAACAGCTGGATTTTTGGGCTTATTTTGTATTGGATGTGTTTTCGCCATCCTGGCAAAAGCTGGGCCGGGAAATTGACCAAATTTGGTTTCGAGGTGGGCCGGACCCCCTAACCCCGATTCCAAGTAAAAAGCCCCGGACACCAAGTGGGCTCGTGGCCAGAGCTGTTTTGGGCCCTCGAAAAAATCACCACTTCCTCCTCCGCCTGGGGCGGCTCGGGGACGTCCTCGTATCTCCGAAAGTACTGGACGTAGAAGAAAAGGGTTTTCGGCGTTGACTGTAAACCCGCAGCCTAAACGGCACGGAGAAACATGGAGGTCGTCATGGTGAACCCCGGGGGGACGTCATGGGGGCCCTCAGACGTGGCCGACGACGAAACTCGAGCTTTTGCGGTCAAACAAGGGGGTTTCCCTTGAAACGGCAGAGCCCAACCAAGGCCCCCCCCTTTGGGAATGCACCCCAAAAACAAGGCGGCCCTTGGAATTTGTCGGGAGCCCAAGAAAAAGGGAGGGCCCTTTGGGAAAAACAAGGGCCTCCTTGGAAGGGGAGCATTTCCCAAAGGGAACTTCCTTGAAGTGTTCCATCTTTTCCTTTTTTTTCAAAAAACCCTCCTTGTTTTTCAAGGAGTCGCGCTAACCGTGTGTACTGGCCGGGTGTTCTGGGTCAAGTTCAAGTTCTGCCATGGCCTTCCATTCCGGATGGCGTCTTAGTGCCCATACCCCATCAATATTTCCCCTTCGGGTTTTTCTATTTGACTGACGCGGCCGCTATTTTAGCAACCTAATGAAAGACCCTGATCTGAAGCGGTCGGGCCAAAAACGTTGACAACGTGCTGTGCAGTCACGATTACTTTGAAATCGGCACGTGCTGTGCAGTCACGATTACTGTGAAATCGGCACGTGCTGTGACATCACTAACTGCTAGCATAAGCCTTGCCACTTGAAACTAGCGCTTTCGCGGCGTGTGATCGTTTGCTTATCAGTTTCCCACACTAAAAAGCCTACAAAGAATGACATGGTTTTTAGCTGGCCATGACGCGCGGGCTGTATTTACAACCACGGAGAATTCATCCACAGTTGAAAAAGATAAGGCTCTTCGATTTGATTGAATTGACGAGTTACCACACTACAAATCCAAAAGTCAGACATCTCGCCACTCCAGAGGGGAGAGATAAAAGTCTTGCCAAGTTTTTGGGATCTGAAAGTTCGCCAAAATTTTGGGCAGACAAAAAGTCTTACCCCAAAAAGGTCAGAAAAAAAGTCCCCCATTTTGTGGTGGGACTTTTGTGTCCGACTGTTTTGTGGCGAGACTTTCTTGTCTGACCAAATTTTGGCGAGACTTTAATGTCGCGCCATATTTTGGCGCGAAGTCTTTCCATCCAATTTGCAGTGATATTATGTGACAAGGAAATGTTAATTTAGCCTATCTCTATACTCCGCTTTATGAACTTTTGATGACTGTTCCCTTATTTTCGTTCCAGGAAAAGGCGAAAACATATGGGACCGCTTGTCGCACGAGCATCCTGAGTTGATTCTTGACGGCTCGAACGGGGACGTCGCATGCGACTCGTACCACAAGTACAAAGAGGACATCCGCATCGTGAAAGAGCTGGGGGTAGGTCAGCGGTTCCCAACCTTCTTCGGTTCGCGACCCCAAATTTGTAACAAAAAATTTCCGCGACCCCCAGGAAAAATTTCGCGACCCCACGCGACCCCTCCTTTAGCATGCCTTTGATACAAAGTGCGATAATCCACCTTAGTTTGGGAGCAGTATTGCCGCAAAGTTGATCAAAACGCTCAGAAATGTCTTTAAAAAATCGTGTTTTGGGCAGACTTTAAGCAGCCACTGCATCTGATCCGACAAGGTATTTCGTCCTCCCTCGACGGGCATTTGGTCTTTGGACCTTCCTTTAGCATGCCTTTGTTACGGAGTGTGATTATCGGCCTTAGTTTGGGAGCAGTTTTGCCACAAAGTTGATCAAAACGCTCAGAAATGTCTTTTAAAAATCGTGTTTTGGGCCGACTTTAAGCAGCCACTGCGTCTGATCCGACAAGGTATTTCGTCCTCCCTCGACGGGCATTTGGTCTTAGGACCTTCCTTTAGCATGCCTTTGTTACGGAGTGTGATTATCGGCCTTGAGCAGTATTGTCTCAAAGTTGATGAAAACAGTAAAAAATGCCTTTGCATGCCATTTTGATCCACTTTGAGACAATACTGCTCCCAAACTAAGGCCGATAATCGCACTCCGTCACAAAGGCATGCTAAAGGAAGGTCCAAAGACCAAATGCCCGCTGAGGAAGGACGAAATACCTTGTCGGATCAGACGCAGTTGCTGCTTAAAGTCGGCATAAAACACGAATTTTCAAAGGCATTTTCGACCGTTTTGAACAATTCTGCCAGCCGGGAAACAGCCGCGACCCCAGGCGACCCCAACCACCTCGCCGCGACCCCTCGAAATTTTTTCGCGACCTCATTTGGGGTCGCGACCCTAAGGTTGGAAACCGCTGGGGTAGGTCTTCGGTTCCGAATACAGACGGACTCACGACACTGGACCACTTCGATCCGCCAGTCGCCGATTTCAATTCGTAAACTTAAGGGTTCGGAAGAGCAACGTAGAACACTTGGAATGAGCAGCTTGGTTTGTGATCGTGGGCCGAAACGACAGGAAAATGATCCTTGGGTTTAAAACTGGTGTCAAATTCTTCACGGTAACAGTTTTTCCACCTCCCATGATCAGGAAAGATGAAAACGGCGTGGTATACACACCGACTTACAAGTATTTTGTGCATAGCTTTGCACGAAATTGAACAAACGTTTTGAAACGCAATAATTTGTGCGTAGCTAAGCAAGCATGAATGGGTGCATTGTTGCGCACGAATTAATGCACTTCACACGTATGCGCCAAATCGTGCAAATCACTGGTAGCCAACGAAAGTCACGTCATATTCGTTGCAGTGTGAATTTTGCCACGTTCGTTTGAATATGGTGCCACATTCGTTTAAACGTGACTCGGCCGTTTAAGTAGGGTGTCACATTCGTTTGAACGTGACTCAACATTCAAACGAATGTGACATCATATTCAAACGAACGTGACAAAATTCACATTTGAACGAATATGACGTCACATTCGTTGGCTACCAGTGAAGGTATGCCCGAAAAAACCACGCAGTGATAAGGGTGTCTTTTTTTCGGGTGCCATAGAATCCGAATTCTACTAAAATTGGCTGGGAATTTGACGAGGACGAAGAATGGCAATACCTCGGTTAATTTTTGCCCAGAGTACACGGCGGAACAATGTTCCTGGGGTTGTTCATCTTTAGCATTAAAGGGAATTCACATTAATGGCAAGATGTGCGACCGTTCTACAGCCGTATTTTTTTATCTGCGACCACAAACTGATATTGCAATCCTCCATTTATCACCATGGCTTTCAATTTCGTCAAACCGGTGATTGACACCTGGAGACAGTTCATTCGCTGTTGTTTTTTGGTGTGTGTGTTTTGTTTTTATTGCAGCAGGACGGTGAGATTGTAATTTATTTTGGCAATGTCTTTCGCTGATTCCAGACCAAGGTGTACCGGTTCTCGCTGTCTTGGTCTCGTATTCTACCGACGGGTGCCATTGACGTCGTGAACGAAGACGGCTTGCGCTACTACAATGCCATCATCGACGAGTGCATTGCCAACAAAATCGAACCAATGGTAAGTCTTTATGCAACACTCCCAATTTCCTACTCAGAAATGCCATGCGTGCAGTCATTACACTAAGCTAATTCTCAGTACTCTACGACGCAAATCTAACAAAATACAGAGAAATTTGCACGTAATATGAAGAAAGTGGACTTATTTTACCGAGAAACCGTTTCTACGTCAGCTGTGCTGTCATAATACTTAGCTTTTTTTGTTCGTATTACGAAGAAAAGGCTCAGTGGGATCTGGGGCCGCCTCCGTTGCGAGTTTTGATACTCTGCAAACTCAACAGTGTGCTCAGCACACTCTGTTCGGCGTGTACTCACAAGTACACTCTGACGAGAGTGTACTCAGATGAGTACACTCCAACGAGAGTGTGCTTAGATGAGTACACTCCAACGAGAGTGTGCTCAGATCTTTGAAATATATGCAAATATGCAGTTGAGTACACGCTCGTGGGAGTGTGCTCGTGAGCACACGCTGAAGAAAGTGTACTCGTCAGTACACGCTAAAGAGAGTGTGCTGAGTACACTGTTGAGTTTGCAGAGTAGATAAAGGTCAAAGAAACGATGAATACGGAAAATGGACAGAAGAATGTAGTGCGGGAAAAAAGCGTGGAATGACTGTTACTTGTTTCATGTGCACTCATGAAGTCTGGTACCTACGAAAAATATACTGTTGTACATAGTTTATGACACGGAAGTTCCGTAGTAGTTGGCACACTCTCATTCCAGGAACGTGACATCACGTTGAAACGAACGTGACAAAGTGTCACGTTCGTTTGAGCATTGTGTCACGTTCGTTTGAATGTGAACAAGCTGATTTTAGCCCAATTCACACCCAAACAAATGTGACACAATGCTCAAACGAACGTGACATTTTGTCACGTTCGTTTCAACGTGATGTCACGTTCCTGGAATGAGAGTGCAGTTACGCACGGTCCAGGCAATTTGTTGACAAGACCAGTTCCGTACCTTTCTGTCCTTTTTCTCCCAGCGAAAAGAGAGATGTAAAAACACTACAAACATGACGTTCTTGTTGTTTCAGATAAGTATTTTCCACTGGGATCTACCACAGCCTCTCCAGGATATGGGAGGCTTCCCCAACGAGGTCATTGCTGATTACTTTGTGGACTACGCAGACTTAGTTTTCGAAAAGTTCGGAGACAGGGTAAGTGGACGAAATGTCGTGGTGTTCGCTGAGGAAGTTCTTACTTTAAAATTGAGTGCCCTGTCGTCTCGCAGCATATCGAAGTCTTGCCGTAAAGCACCGTAAAAAATAAACTGGAAATAAACAAAGTAGCTGCTGGTGAAAATTTCATTGTCAAGAATTCCTTCAAAAATTTACGATAATCATTTGTAGAAACGAGGGTTTTGTGAAGTTACAAAGAATCTTCTTTACTTCATGATGATTAAAAGTATTTGCAAATTACTGCGAATCTGGGAAAAATTAGCAAATTTACAACGGTACCTAAACCACACTTTTGCCAGAGGTACCTTCGTTACGGAGACACTTTTGCACAGTGCGCGGCATGCGAAGGTTAAATCAAATCCAAGTTCACAGTGCAAGGTCCCTTCCTCAGGTCAAGTGGTGGGTGACAGTAAATGAACCCTGGAGCGTCTGCGCGGACGGATACGGCGCTGGAGGGAAGGCCCCTGGGATCAAGTCCGAGGGAAGGGCCGACTACCTGTGCGCGCACACCGTCCTCAAAGCCCATGCTCGCACGTACCATCTCTACAAGGACAAGTACTTCGCGACCCAACAAGGTACACAGACGACACTGCGTCGGTTACAAAAGTTGCTTGGTGGTGCTCTATTGTTTCCTGAACGCCTGGGAAAGGGATTTAACCAATTATATTGTGCGCCCAGTGCGTCCTAGGCTGCCGGCCGTGCTCCAATGCACTGTCAATGAAAAAGTCAAAATTCTGAACTGACAGGGAATCTTAGAATCAGGGTGACTGCCAGTTTTCAGAATTAAAACAGTCAAATTTTGTTAGTTAAACCTACAGGAAGTATTGCCGTATTTTGCGGTTTCTTTTTTCAAACGAAAGTAAACAGACTTCAATTTCGATGCAAATCAATTACTTGCAGCAGCCTGATGCTGGAATTCCGTGGAAGTTTAGAAGTCCTACTTTTTAATTTGCAATGTACTTGAGCACGCTTTAAGCTGAAGCCAACAGCCGCTTGTGCTAATTAGGCATAGTTGGGACCGAATGCGGGCAAAATCCCATTTCCCCGGTACGTTCTGAAAACTATATCAATTATTGTAAATGACCTCTTTTCGTCTTCAGGTAAACTGGGCATTGCGGCGAATTCAAACTTTTACTTCCCGAAGGATCCAAACAACCCAGACGATGTGGCGGCTGCAAAGCGATGGCTCGATTTTCAGGTTAACAATGTAGCCGTAACATTAAATATCCTGCATTGTGCTACGACTCCCGTGATCATATTTGAACCCTCGCCTACAGTTGGGTTGGTACACCCATCCGATATTCAGCGCCAACGGAGACTACCCTCCAGAATTGAAAACACGCGTCCGCGACGCGAGTATCAACAAACAAAAACTCCACAAGTCCAGACTCCCAGAGTTCACTGCTCAAGAAGTTGCGTACATAAAGGGTAAGTAAAGCGGAAATTATATTTCTGACAAGGCGTTGCCTTTTTTTATGAAGTCAAGTTTCCAAGGCCAATTTTGGTTGGACCACAGAGAGAGACAGAGAGAGAGAGAGAGAGAGGAGAGAGAGAGAGAGAGAGAGAGAGCTGGAGCGCATGCAAACTTGGGGTTCAGGCCGGCAACACTGAGAATGAAAGAGTTAAATGCAGGACTCCAATTTAGGGTGGGGTATTATTTATCACTTCAATTTGGCTCAGAGTTATTGTTATTCACTGGTAGCCAACGAATGTGGCGTCATATTCGTTCGAGAGTAAATTTTGTCACGTTCGTTTGAATGTTGATTCACGTTCACGAGTGTGACACCCTACTTAAACAGCCGAGTCACGCCCAAACCAATGTGACATCATATTCAAACGAACGGGACAAAACTCACACTGCAACGAATATGACGTCACATTCGTTGGCATCCAGTGTTGCTGAAATTTGGCTTCATCAAACTTTCATCAAACTTTGGGTCAAAGTAATATTCAGCTTTCCGTAACCCACCCACCCTTTTTGCTCCAATTCGGTACGAAACCGTCATCACGCAAACGTGGCTGATCGTATACCTCACTCAAAATATGGATTTATGAAAACTCTTAAGGGGGGACCCTGGTAAAACTTTCCAGTAGGCTTCAAAATAATCCCAGAAAGTTGAAACTTTGCTTAATTATTAGGTTCATTATGGTGAGTTCCCAAAACAAAATTCAATCCAAAATGTTGAACGGTCTCTGAGAAAAGTGGCTTTTTAGTGTTTTTTGGAGCGTTGGGGAAAAATCTTCCTGCGTCTTTCATTGGGACGGAAAGTCTTGAAAATTTTTTTGGGTTATCTTAAAGATGTATAGAAGAGATTTTAGTGACGGAATTTTCAAATTCAACTGCTGTCCTGAGATATGAGTTTTCAAATTTCAACATTAAAAAAAAAGTGATTTTTTTTCCTTTTTTTCAAACTTTTAGGTGTGTTTAAAAAAAAAGTAAGGCTGATATCAAGATTCCGTCACTAAAATTTGTCAACAAGTCATCAATGAATAGAGTCCATGCAAGACGACTCACGTAGGTGTCAACCAGGAACGCAGGAAGTCTTTCTACGACAAAATTTTTTGTCGACAGAGCAAAGCTGTGAAGTTGAGCGTAGAAGCCAACGACAACTGATCTCAATGTTATTTCCTTCCAAATGATAAAGAAAGTACCCACTTAGCCAAAAGGTGTTCAACCTGTTGAATTTGAAACCTTCTATGCACATTTTTGTCTATGAACTTTGAAAATACTATTTTTTGGAATTTTGGCGTTTTTTTCACCAGGGTCCCCCCTTAAACTAAAACTATCGATAAACCAGCCCAGCACGGGCGTTTACTTTAATAAGTACTTGTACCAAAAACCGCCGCGAGGTGCAAAATACGATTGGGACTTTAAAACTCCGGATTATGTTTCAAAGGCAGCCAACGGAAGAGCTATGTCTACAAAAATCCGACAGCCCTAATTACTTGGACTTTTACAGTGAAAATTTGCGCGTTTGCAGTTCTATGAAGTGTCAATGTTGTCTCTCATTTGTTAATGCTAGTGCTGCCAGTAACCGACGACGTCCCGATTTTCTCGCAGGCACGGCTGATTTCTACGGGATAAACACGTACACCTCCAACCTCGTGGCGGACGCAAAAGAGACGGACCCGAACCGTCCGGCGGTCGGAACGAGGGCCGGGGACTGCGGCATCACGACATCAGTGGCTCCGGAGTGGGACGCGACCATTGCGTCATGGTTCTATGTAAGCCCAGAAGAATTTACTCTAAAGACGCCATGTCGTCGGAATCCACCCTGGGGAAACAAACTTAAAAAGACTCAATTTCATATTTGATTTGTAATCAGACAGATGGTTTGGAAGAGATTCAAAATGAAACAAATTTGAACACTTCTAGTCAATATTTCAAAGTATCAATTTATTACATTAGGTCCCACACACTTATCATCTTACGATGGTAACGCGAACGTAACATACGCTGAATTCAAAACGTGCGTATTACGCTGAAATGTCATCGTACTACAATCGCAACCAACGTACCTTACGTTGACAACGTGCGTAATACGTTGAAAACATGCGTATTACGTTGAAAATCCTGCGTACCTTACGTTGACATTCGTGCGTATTATGCAGGTTGGAAATTGGTCGTACCTTACGATGGAAAATCATCGTATTACGCACGAAAACCAACGTAAGATGATGAGCGTGCACTTTGCTCAGTGCTGTTAAAGTTAATTTTTTTTGTTAACGAGTTAAAGTTAAGCCGTTAACCTAACCGAATTAACGTACTCGTTAAAGTTAAGGCTCTTCAGCATTAGTTAACGAGTTAACGTTAAATTAACGCATTAACGAAGTTAAGTTAGTTTTAATTCTTGATGAACCGAAGACGTTGTGTGATTTCTTGATTTTTGACAGATTTTCAGTCCTCAAGATGCCAAAAAATGACTAACTTTCAAAACCTTTCACAAAAATTGAGGTTTTGTTCATTTTCTTTCACCCAAGACATAAATTCTACATATTGTATGACCCAAATGTCGGCAAAATATGCATACACAGATGAACAAAGTAAACGTTAACGGCGTTAAGAAGTTAACATTCCTACTTAACTTAACTCGTTAACGTTAAGACATTCTGACTACTTTAACGAGTTAACGTTAATTCGTTAATTAACGTTAACGGCGTTAAGTAACTTCGTTAATCGTTAAATTAACTTTAACAGCACTGACTTTGCTAATGGTGTTCTTGGATGGAAGACTAACCGCCTGGAACGAAAGTCGGGCTACAAATTCAAAGTTATCCCTAAGAGGTTACCCTCAAGAAATAAAAATGTAGATTCACATCTTGCTCCAATTGTCCTTCTCCAGGTGGCACCGGGTAACATGCGAGGGCTCCTGAACTGGATCAAGGACGAATACAACAATCCTCCCGTCATCATCACGGAGAACGGATACCCTGACGCCGGAGCGATTAAGGACGTTCAACGCGTCAATTATTACCGCGTACGTATTATGTTAAAAATACAATCCTTCGGTACGAACGGACGGACGGTTATTCGTACACACTAAATGTCATGGGCCTTTTTTTGTCCCATGAGTGATGCAATTTTAAGCACATCCGGTGGTGATGCAATTTTGTGTCCGCCAGGCGGAACAAATTGTCTACTAAAGAAAGTACAATTTGCAGCAGGCGTCGGACAAAATGTGTCTCCAGACGGGAACAAAATTGCATCAGCGTCGAATGTGCTTAAAATAATTGTATCAGCGTCGAATGAGCTTAAAATTGCATAAATCGTGGGACAAAAAAAAAGTCCTATGACATTCAGTGTGTACCTCATCCTTAACTGTAAACGCCCACAACAAAACAAGTACGGAACTTCAAGAACGGAGGGTCTACGTCGTTCCGTCCTTCTTCCATACTTTCTACTCACAGTTCCCGTTGCTTTCACTGTGATGGAACAAAGGGTTAAAAAAAAATTTCACACTTAAAATGCGGAGGTGTGGAATCTACGGCTTATTTGGAAGTGCAGAGTTTGCAGTATCCACAGTTCAAGTGCGGTGACCTCTACGAGATAGGGGTGGGCTCTGTGAGCTAGTCCATAGGAGACTCCAAACCACACACACCCAAGTGTTAAGAATTACTCCGCACCTGAAAGTGGGGAGTTTTCTACACTTGGTCTGACAGTACTGCCATCGTACTTCTAAACTTGACTTGGTCTTCTACTTTTCAGATGAATCTTCTGGAGGTGCTGAAGGCAATTAATGATGACAAATGTAATGTCATTGGATACACTACTTGGAGCCTCATGGATAATTACGAATGGTTCTACGGTTACGAGTAAGTAGTCGAAAGTAAATTAAAATCAAATGGCACACGCTTAAAACACTGCAAGGAAAAGTGTGAATAGTACAACAAAAACTGTACATTAAAAGTAAAACAGGGATTTTAGAAAGTCCAACGAGAATTGTACAAACCACAAAGATGCCTGCAGTGTAAAAAATTCCGTACTTTTGTACGGAAATGGTACAGAGAAATATAGTACGGAGGTACGGAGAAAAGAACGGAACGTTCCGTACTTGCTCCATTTGAACCCATGTAAATGGGCACGGAAAAAAAGTACGGAACGTTCCGTAGTTGGCAAGTAGCAAGTACGGGTCCAGGCAAATTATTGACCAGACATGTTCCGTACTTTTTTCTCACAGTGTGGACTGCACAGTACTCGTCATGCCGGTTCCATTGTACTTTGTACAACAATTGTTGTACTTCAAAAGTACATAATTCCTGATAATAAAAATTGCCAGGAATTTGTGTACTTTTCCTGTGGTTATTTCCTTGCAGTGAAACCTTACGAAGTATTTTGAGTATTCATTGGTTTTCTAAGTGTCATGATAAACTCATTTCAAAAGCAAGAACATTTTTATTGCATTATAGGGTAAGGTGCCCAGTGATGGCCACTTTTAGCGCACTGATGCGCCTTTAACCCCTTTACTAAGCGTCCCGCACGTCGTACCGGTATGAAAATTTCCAGAAACATAAAAGAAGGGTAGAGTAAAGGCTCCCAAGGGTAGAAACCAGCAAAATTAAATTTATTCTTTGAGAAAAAATTAACCAAACTATCAGTGCAGTTTGCCCAGTAATGGCCACCTTTTGCCCAGTGATAGCCAGGGTCCCGGCCCAGTGATGGCCACACTAGGGTTTGAGCGCTTTGTTTTCGTTTTTGACAGTTATTGAACCCAATTTCAGCTGGTTTGCACCTTGTTCGAAGCTACAGGGGTCACTGTGTCTTAGGAAACGGAAATCAGTGTAACCCTGGGAACCTACCCTGGGAATCTACTTGTGTTTATACCATAAATATAGAATTAAAGTTAAAATTTCAAGTTTGCGATAGAAAAGATTTGGTTTCCGAAATGATTTGATCTCGAGAAGGTGAACATGTAATGTTAAGCATGTTATAGGTACAGACTTCAAATTCAAAGGTTTATCGGTGTCCAAAGTGGAAAAAGGTACAAAATGCATCTTTTTTCCTGTTTCAAGGCCGAAAACTTCTGAAAATCAAGCCTGAACCTAAAACATGCTTAACATTTTTTGTTCATCTTGTTGAGGTGAACGCGTTTCTGAAATCGAATTGTTTCTATCGCATATTTAAAATTTTGACTTAAAAACAAAACTTATTGCACGTACGGAGTCTAAACAGTTTCCATGGTACCGTGAATTCAGGTCCCCATGAGGCAGGCGGAGTGAGATGCCAGGTCAAAACCAAGATATTTCAGGCAACAAACTAGACGGACATGCACGACGTCGCGTCACTCGTTGCAAAGTCTGCTTCAAAAGACTAGTGTGGCCATCACTGGCTGTGCACTGTTTTGCCTGCCCAGTACTGGCCACCACCCCTTTTCCCTCAAATGTAACGAAATTTCAAAAAAAACTTGCATGCTATGGTTAACTTGCCCTCTTTCGATTCTTCTGACGTGATGTTTCTCTTGCACGGACCTCGTATTCACAAATGACAAGAGACGCCGTCGAAGCCTGCGCTAATCTGGGCCGGTAAGGAAAGCAACGTTCGACCGGCCGAGAACGCAGTGTTCAGCGCGCTTCGCCCGTGTGGCCGTCCACAACACTAAAAAGCTGAAATTTTTTCGGCGTTGTGTTGCCAATAGGTGACAGTACAAAACCTCAAAAGCTCAATTCTTTAACTAATCTCGCCTGGTGGGAAAGTCAGCGCAAAGTGTGAAGTGGCCATCACTGGTACCCTGGCCATCACTGGGCACGTTACCCTAATTCATAGCAAGAGAGTTACTAGGCCTGTTTGAATGACAATGTAACGTTCCGTATCCCGCTGTTTTCTGTAACGTTCCGTGTCTTTCCCCTATACTTTTGATAGGGGCTTTTTGGTCTTTCTGCAATATTGCACCGGGAGCTCGACTGCGTTCAGATATAAGTCGTGGGACATCACTGAATAAATTGGCCGAGAAAAAAGCCGACTTTTCCATATTTTTTTCTTGCGGTTCTATGGCCTTCAAAAGTGCCCCGAATTTTGGCAACTGCTCTTATACCATTGACAATCGACAGGCACAAGTTTGGGTTGTACCACGTGGATTTCAACGACCCGGACCGTCCACGCATCCCCAAGATGTCGGCCAAGTTCTACCAGAAGCTCATCAGCACCCGAAAAGTACCTAAAGAGGGGGACATAATTTTCCCTGACGACACAACGACTCAGGCGCCGACAACAAAGTCGCCAACGACGCCTAGAACGCAGCCGCCGCCGGCTTCAACGACTCAGAGAGTGTCGCCCACGACGCCATCGTCAGCCGCCCGGAACGCGGTCACGGCATTCTTGGTGGCCTTCACCACGTGCTTGCTGTTTGTGGCAAAGCTTTAAGAAAGGGATCGGAGGTTCAGCACCAGCCGACCGCGATACGTTTAAAAAAAGATTTGTCATTGTGAAGAAATCTAGTTTCAAATGTGTTTGCACGGCGACAGCTGCAATAGGCTTTTGTAGATAGCGAGTACGTCAAATGAAGTGTGGAGAACTCCACTGTCCATCCACTCCTTGAAGTGTGGAACTCTCCAGGAGTGATTCTGCTCACTTGACGTGTGGAGTTTGCAGTCCCCACACGTAAAGTGTGGATTAGCTCGCAGAGACTCTATCTGCATACGTGGAGAAATCCATACCGTGAAAGCGGGTAATATGGGCCACCAGTGGGTGATGTGGACCACCCCTAAAACTCTTCTATGTGGTCGGTGATGCTGCCCACCTGTGGCATGGAAAACTGTGTCGGCCACTAGCATCCGAACTTGTAAGTACCTTGGCCCGAACCGAACATTTAGGAGAATGTCAGGGGTGGTCCACATTACCCACTGGTGGTCCATATTACCCGCATTTACGATACTTGACACTTCAAACCCTCCCGCTGTCCACATTTCAAGCTGTGCGTTCTCCACACTTGGTTTCACAATGTACTCAAAGTGTAAATTGTTTCTCTTGAATCGACTGATAAAGATGACATTAAAACGAGAACACGAGGAGTTGGCGTGAAAATACAGTATGTTATTACTCACACGAGTCTGATTGACTGAACAATAAGGCAACCACCCGCATGTAACTTTCTCTTTTAAGTGGGACTCATTCGCCTTTGCGATGTGTAACTGGGAGAGGGAGAAACTTGAACCCTGTAGTTTTGAATGACGAGGTCAGGACGTTTTATTGGAGAGAAACTTGTCACATTTCGAGCTGGACATGATTTTAGTTTCACATCACCAGGGACATCAACTTATAACAAAGTTGCAACTTCATCTTTTCACATATGATCACCGTCACATGTGTGTGAAATATGTGTTTTTTTTTTCAACATCTCTATTTCACATGACCATAGTCACGTTTTCTAACAAACGGATTCCTCGCACACACGGAATTCTTGTGGCCTTCTTTAATGCATAATTATGAATTTTTTAGTGTATAATCATGCATGCACAGATGTGTGTACATTTTTTGCATCTGCATAAAATGTACGCAGTGATGTATAATATTATTCACACCTTACGTACGTTTCTGTGCATGCATAATCATGCATACAAATGTCTGCAAGAGTTAAGTGTACATCACGATAAGTTTCACACTAGATATCAAGGTACATGTTTCACGCATGAATGATACAATTTAAGCATAGTCATTGTTGATTAAATTAGTGTCCACCAGGTTTTACGGGTTATACTATACACATTGTCCAATACAAAAGGAAATTGCTGTTTGAATCACCTGGTGGACACTATAGCATCACCGATCGACGGATGTGTTTAAGACGGACAAAAAATTCACAAGATACTTTTTAACCGTATTTCAACATTAAAATCACGGTTCAAAGTTCTACCACTTTGCAAAGTCTCGTCAAAAGCTTATAGAAAATCTCCGACTTGCATGAAGGGCCACACAGATTAAATCTCGGAGAGGCAGAGTCCTCGGGATACTAAGGCTACTTCGTGCAAAGAAAGAAATCTCCATTCAAGGAACGTTCATGGAAGCAGATGATATTCGTCTGTTACTGTCCTATATACACTAGTTGTGGCAGTATGCTCTTATCCCTGCAGCTCGAGGTTGACCCTAGGGAAAGAATCCCCATGATTTTAAAGGGACGGTCCCTTTCCGAAGGGGCCAAGCCCTATCCGAGAAAGGGCTTGGCCCCTTGGGAAGGGCTCAGCCCTATCTGCCATAGGGCCGGGCCCTATCAAGTTAGGGACCGGCCCTATGGACTTGGGGACCGGCCCTATGAGCTTAGGGATCGGCCCTTTGGACTTGGGGATCAGCCCTATGGACTTGGGGATCCGCCCTCCAGACCACAAGGCCCTATAAATCAGCCTGCCAGTTAGGCAAAATGTGGGTGATTTAGGTAGGCAAACCCGCTACACACCTATTAAGGGTATCTTGTAAACGGCTTTAGATAGAGTGTCGGCGACACTACCATTGTTATCAGCGTCAAAAGTTTACTCAGGAAGCGTTTCTTATTTGTACATTGATGTTCAAGAGGCAGATGTTTTGAACACTTGAACACTCCGCGGCACGTCCCTTACCAAAGGGATATTTCGCGGCCCTTTGACAAGGGGACTGTCCCTATCCATAGGGGCTGGCCCTTCCATGGGGACCGTCCCTATACCAAGGGGCCGCGAAATATCCCTTTGGTTAGGGACGTTAGGGATTTTTTCCCTTGGGGAGTTGCATGTGTAAAGGTATCACGTGCTAAAAAGTCCCACAGCATTGAATATATACGGACCCCCGCATGTCGGGACTAGAGCGCGCCGAACACGCGCTGGCCGCGCGACAGGGCCAGGCTGACGATGACGATGGCGGCGAGGAAGGTGGCCACGGCCAGCAGGGCCGTGAAGGCGCGGCAGCAGCAGCGCTGGCGGGAACCTTCCTCCACGAGCGCCAGCAGACGGTCCGCCCCCGCGGCGTCCAGCGTCAGGTCCTGGAAAACGCGGGCAAAACATGTGGAACGGTCGAGAGGTCTCTCGGACTTTCTTTTCTTCCACCTGCCACGTGCACACACACTAAATGTCATGGGACTTTTCTTGTCCCATGAATGATGCAATTTTACGCACATCCGGTGGTGATGCAATTTTGTGCCCGCCAGGCGGGACAAATTTTCTAGTGAAAGTACAATTTGCAACAGGCGTCGGACAAAATGTGTCGCCAGACGGGAGCAAAATTGTATCAGCGTCGGATGTGCTTAAAATTGCATAAAACGTGGGACAAAAAAAGTCCCATGACATTTTGTGTGCAGTGAAGTGTAAAGTATCACAGTTTTGCAGAATGTGCATGGATATTTCGCACAAATTTAATTTGTAGGCAAATCTGATAAATGTTTTGCAAAATGTTCAAATTTGTACGAAAAGTATCCATACTCGGAATTAAGTGAGACTTTGTTTCGGAGAAAAGGTGGAACGGAACTTGAAGCAGCTGCTTTGACGCACTCATTCACAAGAATTTCGATTACTTTGCACAGATAAATGCCTACAAAGTACACGGTAGAAACGGTACCTGGTTTTCCCAGGAAGCCTATGGTAGAGACATAGGCGGTTTCGAGGGGGTTCCTGGGAAAACCAGGTTCCGGTTTCACCGGGTACTGCTCGTTGTTATACAAAGAAAACGAAGGCTTCGCAGCCTACGAATTTTGACATACAAACGATTTTGTTGAAGGATGAATCCTTTGTAGCCTACGAAGAACCTCTTCGCAGCCTGCGAAGGGTATTTTCTTTGTATTACAAACACAATCGTTAGTATTACAAACGATGTCCTTCGTAGGCTGCAAAGCCTTCAATTACAACGAGTAGTTCCTTGGAGGGTTTTAAGTGTGTGCCCTTTCTGATTTATTCCTCCCAACTTCCAATCTAACTCTTCTCCGACGTGCCCTATCCCTCTGTCAGTGCATGCGTACCATCACCTGCTCGTAGCCCTTGGCCATGAGCGTGATGTCCCCGGGGACGATGCCGCTGCCGAGGTACTCGCTCCAGGCGTTGCTGTAGCAGAGGTAGCCCTGCGTGGCGGCCCTTGGAGCGGCCTTCTCGCTGGCCGCCGCGCCACGCGACGCCACCCCCGCCTCCAGAGCGCGGCACACCGCCAGCAGGGTGGGCGACCGGGACACGCCCTCCGACAGCTGGCGGACGCCATCCAGGACCTTGGGGCACGCAGTGTGAGATGAGTCGCAGGGGCTGTTACGCACATTGAAGAGTCGACGAAGCATTGATTCTCAACACGAAGACAACGACACTGTGAAATATTTTGGACGGGAAATTCGCACACTCTCAGCCTTTTACTGATGATTTCTCAGACGCATTTTTGTAAGCAACCTCCAGCAATTGGTTAATACTGTACTAATATTTTCGGTTTCTATTCAATTCCAAAGAAATGTTTTAATATTTAAGAAGGAACTACTGAGCATTATGAATGCTTACAGAAATGCTTCTGCTTATGAAAAAAGTCGGGTGAGAAAACGTGTGAAAAAATGAAAAAACGGCTGAGAGTGCAGAAGAATATCGTACGTCGTATATCGAATACGGGACAAGAACGGAACGTCCGTACCTGCTCCATATATGCTAATGTAAACTGGTACGGAAAAAAGGTACACAAACTTCCGTAGTTGGCAAGTACGGACAGTCCAGGCAAATTGTAAAGCAGATACGCTCCGTACCATTTCTGTACTTTCATCGCCAGCGTGCTCTGGCGCGCTTTTTAAGTCTTACAGAGAAAATTCTCCATATTATGGAGAAAATTCTCTTTTAAGGTGGTGCACCTGTCGTTGTTACTACCAACTGATTGTTCCCTGTGGATATTTTGTCGAATTACTTTGGTATTAACGAGAAAATCTTTGTCTTAATGGCGGTGCAGCCTTTCAACATCAACATAAGACACTTACATTATGAATCCAAAGGTCAGACAAGAAAGTCTTACCATTTTGTGGCGAGACATTTTTGTCTGAGCAAAAATTTTGACGAGACTTTCAGGTCTAACCAAAACTTTGGAGAGAAGCCTTTCCATTCCATGCAATTTGCAGTGTAGAGTGTGTAGTTTTCATGCCTTTGGGTCACCAGTGTGTCCTTGCCTTGTTGCTGGGTTCCTGCCAGTGCCCAGAGAGCGGGCTGTCGGTGCCTGGGCATTGCTGCGACGAACTGCAGCGCGACTCGTACCCGGAGCAGCTGGGCGGGGCGTCCGCACCGCCACTCGACACCGAGGCGTGCAGATGCAGGGACAAGGACTCGTCCCAGAAAGCCGGATTTACCCTGGGATCAAACGGACTTGTTCCAAATTTTTCTGTAGTAAGTACTTTAAAGACAAAACTTTTTCTCCTTACACTGTGAAAATTTGAGTCGTCACTTGATGACAATTTCAAGGCTAATTTTCCTTACAACAATGTCATCAAAAAACTTATGACATTTGTTGTCACGCCCATGCAATAAGTATAGGAGCTTTGATGAAAATGTCATCATTTTGTGATGAGATTGTTATGATTTGAAAAAGATGAAAATGTCATCCGCGTTTTTGTCATACAGTGACAAAAAAATTTCACAGTGTATATAGGGGAGTGGAGCGTTTATTCTCTGCCTGCGCCCGCAGATAGGCAACCCATCGGGCATCGCCGACAGCGACCCATTACCATTACGGGCTAGATCACAACAGATCGTTTGCCAGTTCCCCCCTCCCACTCTGCCGAGCCCGGCCTGCGGATCTGGACCGTTAATTTCGCTCAAATTTGAGAATGGAGACCTTCGTCGCCTCACCTGGACACGGTGTAGCCGGCGACCAGGGGGTCGTCATTCATGATCAGTGCATTGTCCGTCCATTGCAGAGGGTCGGCTGGAAATACTCGTATCCCTATGACCTGAAAAGAAGGAAAATTCAGTTCGGTTAGTTCGACGAAAAGTGGGAAATCGAAGAGTGAGCTAAAAGGCCTTGAACTGCAAGAATTTTGTTGTCACTTTAGGACAAAACAGTGGGTGACACTTTCATCACTTGCATGCAAATGATGAAAATGTATACATCAAAAAGTGCTGACATTGTCATCAAAGCTCCTATACTTATTGCATGGGCGTGACAACTTTGTCATCAAAGGTTTTAAATGACGACCTCGTTAGAAAAATCAGCCTTGATGTTGACATCAAGTCACAATGTCACAACTAAAATTTTCAGTGAGCTTTGGCTCCCAATCAGAGCCCCCCTTTTTTCCCTTGTACGATAACAATAAAGTAACAGAAGAGTAACGCATGTACAGGTTTTTACTCAAATATTTATATTTAGTACTACATTACACGATAGAGGAGCAAAATTCCGAATTCCTGATTGAAACACATACAGCATTTCGCTCAATTGACTCAACGCCCAAAGTTCCCTTGAGTGCTGAAGAGGAAAGTGACAGGCATTCTGCTCCCGACTCCGACTCAGGCTTCAATCTTACCGAAGTTTGGACAGTTTGGATCAGCGAGCTAAAAACGCAATCTTGCCCAAAAAATATAAATAAAAAAATCAGTTAACAAAGAAGTTTACTCAACTTAAACTCCTAGCCAGTTTTTATATTGGACACACTCAAAAAACCTTGCAAAGTATTCTCCGGCATTGTATTGCAATCTCTCTTACAAACTATTTTCTTTGCATTGCAAAGTATTTCTTTGCAACTTGCAAAGAAAATGCTTTGCAACGTTACAAACCAATGCTTCGCAACTTACGAACTATTTCTTTGCAATGCGAAGAAAAAAATTCGCAAGGGAATTTGTAATACAATGCCGGAGAATACTTTGTACTGCAAAGTACTTTTCTTTTCAAGCTTTTCTGAGTGCACATTGCCTTAAATACCTATAACGAGGTTTTGTGCAGCTCCTGCAGACTGATTTTCAGAGTGTCATCCTGGTCCGCGTCCTGGTCTCTAAGTCTGATCTCTCTAGCACACTCACGCGGCGTCCCGTATGGGTGCGAGAGAGACAGAGCGACGGAGACGACTCTCGGCATCAGTCTGCCGGAGGATACCACAACGCAATGCCGGCAACCTGGAAGCTGGAAGGTGAAGCGAAGCGCGCGTAACCGTGGGTCGATAGAACGGAGTGCGAGTCCGGGGGAGTCCAGGGCGTCCGGCGCGCTTGGCTGCGTCCGGCCGACCCGGTGCAGAGCCAGGCCAGAGCCAGGCAAGCGCGAAGAGTTGCATGGTATTAAAACACGGGCGTATACTCTTAACGCTTCAGAACCATAAGGGATTCGCTTAAAAATTAAAATTTGCCCTGAAACCGGCCGCCTTTGTTGAGTGGGCCACAAGGGCGGAGGCGGTCCAAATACCAAACGCGTTTTGAGCTCCAGAGTCGCTAAATGGGACTCGAACTGAACGCGTGACCCTACCCATAGATTTGCTCTCCGAACGAGGAATCCATTGGTAGGGTCACACGATGGATTCAAGTCCCATTTAAGAACGGTGGGGCTTAAAACGCGTCTGTCTGGAGTTTCGGCCGACGGTGCCGGTCTTCGGGCCCAATGCCCTCGATACGAGGAAATTTCGTAAGATACGGAGGAAATGGCGCAAGCATATGATCCACGAAGCGGAAGAAGGGGTTAAGTCGACTTGATTCAGTGACATCTTATCAGTCTATCAAGTAAACATGAGCGAAAATTTGGTCTAAAAATAGGTGAGGTGAGACAAGTCCCATCCTCTTGCATCTATTTTCAGATGACATTCCCCACCTGTTCTCCCACCTGCAAGGTTAAGGCCTTGCAAAAGGGCACGGATTCAACTCGACTTATTCCCCTCTTCCGCTTCCTGGATCATATATGAGAGCAGTTTTTCTGCGTATTAAGAAGGGTTTTCTTTGTTTCTTCCAATGGAAATGAAAAAGATTCATTGTGTGAAGAAATATTGGTTTGTAATGCAAAAGGTGGACCGAAATCTGGAATCGGGTCACGCGCGAACAGGTGCGAGTAGTTATGTGTCAGATCAAGAGCGCTTTACTGGCAAACCTATAGATGCACCTAAACGTCAATTACGTTCCTGGCGAAACAATCGGCACGAGTCTGAGAGTGTAGTCGCTTCGGGCGCGTGCCTCGCCTAATTACCGAACCCGTCATTGTCAGTCAATTAAAGGCGGCGGAGCGCGGCGCCTAATGGACTGAAGAAAGCGGCGCCGCCTTGTGTGGCCGCCGTGCCGCGATTAGCCGCGTAATCTCTGTCTCTGTCGCACTCATGGGGCGTGCCGTGCGGGTGCGAGAGAGGCAGAGCGACGAAACGATTCTTCGGAATCGGGCGGCTGTCGCGACGACGCGGCGTCACCGCGCTTTGTCTCTGGCGGAGGAAAGCGCGCCGCGCCGTGGCACAGTGGGCCAGAAGACCGGTGGAGGCGGTCGAAATCCCGGACGCGTATCAAGCTCCAGAATCAGTAAATGGGGCTCGAACTGAACGTGTGACCCCACCAATGGATTGCTCTTCGAACGGAGAATCCATTGGCAAGGGCGGATCCAGAGTCGGGTTCAGGGGGGGGGGGGGCGATGTCACGAAAGTTGCCTACCTGCAGGGGTAATGTGCGACTTTTTGCCTATCTTTCAGGCGGCTTCGCCGCCTTCAGGGGGGGGGGGGGGGCGACGCCCCCATCGCCCCCCCCCTTGGATCCGCGCCTGTCCATTGGTGGGGTCACACGCTCGGGTCGAAGTCTGTACAGCGAATCTGGAGCTCAAACCGCGAGGGGGGGACAGCTTTCCACAATCGTTGTACAAAATTTGACCACATTCCACATTCAGGAGGCAAAAACGCCTGTAAGTAGGCAACATGTGTGGCAAAAACGCCAGAAATCTTGCACATTCTTGCACATTCATTGTACACAAAATTTTACAGTGGGTCACCCCTCGTCAAACCGCGTTTACAGTCCTGGCCGCCGGCGCCGGTCCTCTGGCCCACTGTGCCCCGCCGTGCCACGCCAGGGCCAGCGGATTCGCGCCCCGGGCCGCCACGGCCACGCGCCTCGTTTACTCTCGTTTGCCAGCCGCTTGGCGGTGCCCGGCTGCCGGCGACTCCCACGCCCGTCCGCCCCGAAAGGGAAACAGCGCCGGCGTGGTGTAAGACGACGTCATTACGACGGGCAGCGAGGCGCGCGGCCACGTCAATGGGCCCAGTGTGTGAGTGTACATGTTAGTGTGTGCTGGTGTGTGTGTGTGTGTTGGTGTATATGCATGTCTGAGTGTGTGTGTGTTGGTGTATGCGTGTGTGTTGGTGTATATGCATGTCTGAGTGTGTTGGTGTATGTGCATGTCAGTTGTTAGTGTGTGTGCGGGTTAGTGTGAGCGTTTTGTGTGTGTGTTAGTGTGTGTGTAGGTGAGTGTGTGCGTGATAATGTGTGTGCCCGCATGCCTGCGTGCGTGAGTATGGCACGACGTGTGTCGCGAGCGTCGTCCGCGCGAAAGAGCCCCCATTGACACGACGCGTCAACATTCAATTACAATTGCCATAACGTTATGGCTATGAATGTTGTACAACAGAAGACTCATTGTTTTCGGACGAGTTTTTAAGGATTAGATTGCTTCCCACGTGGTTTGAAATTATTTTAGTACAAGATGTGACAATTTTCGGGGAAGCTCTCAGCTCGACCCAGTCGTGAGCGGTTTCGCACAATAAGAACATATGTGCAGTTTTTTTTCAGCAGATGGTGCATTGTAACGACATGAAGACAAAATAGAAATAGGAGTACATATAATGTGTCAGCATGCTAGTACTCTCAGGATGCGAGGCGCCTAGCAGTGAGTCAGAGAAATGTCTGAAGACCGATGGCTACGCCGATGTCTTGAAAGGGGACCGATGCCGCGTGTGCGTCCGCCCCCTGGGGCGCCCCGCCCATTAATGGCATTAAAACAAATTTTCTTTATGGCCGGTTGCTGGCGACACTCAATTGCATCGTCGGAAAGGGCACTGAAAGTATCGCCTCTGCGTTTGGAGTGCTCAAGCAACGTCTGGACCAGCTGTGCACACCCCGAATCCATAAGGACTTTTTGGCTGAGCCCCCTTATCCTCACACTTTATCTTAAACTTGACTAGCGATGCCCTTTGGTCCGGCCCGGGTGAACCTCGTTGAAAACTACACCTCGCAATGTAGGCAACCTTCGAATGTATCAACGGAAACACAAAGTGCTCGTTGTAGGCGTTGAAATTTAAAAGTAAGTACGTGTAATAAGTTCTAACATTAATCAAAACTCAATTTTAAAAATGAAGTTTCAAACATTTGACAGGAACTGGGCAAACGTTTAGTTTTATTAACTTTTTAAGTTAAATTTTGGGGTTGGCAACAGATAAAAGTCACGTGGAGTTTGGAAACGATCCCCCCCTAAAAGTGTGGTTTCAAAAAGCAAGTTGCCGGAACGGGGCGGGATCGGGAAGTCCCCATCCCCATGTAACTAGCAAAGCTATAACGCTCAGGGCTGAGCTGGCGATGTCACTTTTAAGTGAAATAAGCTCAACCATCGCAACACAAGTTGGCGTTTCTGGACGTTAGATTTGTTTACACGAGTAGGGAGTTCCCATGATGTCCACCTTTCCATTCTGATGTAACAGACAGGAAAGATAAACTTTACACACTGAATTAATTACAATTTCTGAGCCTTTCTCAATCTTCAAATCAGCGGACAATCTTGGTCAAAAATCCACTGTTTCCTCCCACTGCTTTTACATCACCGCTTTTCTGAATTGTTCAGTTCTAAAGTTGTAAGTTGTCGTGGTTGTAACTTACTATCTTCTTATTCTGGTTTAAAACCATGATATTATTTTGTAATCTGAATAAATTTTAAATTTACTTTATAAGTAACTTTCATTTTAATATTTTCAACTCCTGCCTTAAAAATTGTATTTCGCCACAAATGATTGACACTAAGCATTGAAATTGAAAGTAACAACTGAACTCCAACGGGAATCTGAAGCCAAATCTTCACTTTAAATTTGAACGGCTGCCAAGGAAAGTGTGTGGATAATGCGAATGAGTGTGGGTGTGTGTGGTGTTTCAATGCATGGGGTATGTTACGTTGTTAAGCCAAAGAACTGATTCTCAAAAAAATCCATGGGAAACTTAATCTACAACTCAATTTTAAACTTGATCTTACGATGATGGGGTGCAAGTGGAAGGGATAGCACTCAACGTCTTTCAGACTTAGAATCACGCATTCAGACACTGTGAAAAAAAAGTACGGAAAAAGTACGGAACATGTCTGGTCAATAATTTGCCTGGAACGTCCGTACTTGCCAACTACGGAACGTTCCGTACCTTTTTTCCGTACCCATTTACATGGGTTCGTATGGAGCAAGTACGGAACGTTCCGTACCTTTCTCCGTACCTCCGTACTATATTTTTCTGTACCATTTCCGCACAAAAGTACGGAATTTTGTACAGTGGAAAATCTCAAAGAACGACAAAATACTACAAACCATCTCCCTTAAATTAAAACTGAACTTTGCTAGCGCAGTGGCAACTTTGGCTCAGCCTTAAGTGTGAACTTTACCTAGTTAGTGTGCAGGTCAAGGCGCTCGCCGCTCTGCTTGCCACGTGCGGCTTGCTTGGGTACGTACTCACGCGTCGCTCCGTGCTTGCGGCAGAGGCGCCGCGTGTCGTGCTGCGCTGCGTGCGTTGCTGCGCTGCTGCGGTCCGGCGCGCTTCGCTCCACGGCCGCGCCGCGTCTGACGAGGGCCGGCGAGCCCGGCGCCGGCCAGGCCCGTCGTCCGGAGCTGTCTCGCAAACGGCCCGTCGAAGCGCGACCGGCGGGGAGCGGCTGGCACACTCACTGCGAGAGTCCTTTTCGTCGCTCTGTCTTTCTCGCGTCTACAAGGGGGGATGCCTGATGAACGCGAGAGGCAGAGCGTCGAAAACGATACCCGAAATCAATCGGCATAGTGCACTGCAAGAAAAAGTGTGGATAGTACAACAAAAGTACAACAAAAACTGTACAATAAAAGTACAAGGGGTTGTAGATAATAAAAATGGAATCTATTTCGACCTCCGGACCCACGTTCGATTTCTGATGGGATCAAAGCTAGCCAGAATTTTAGGGGTGTCGAACCAAAAATGTCATGCAGTTTGACCAGCGATGAGCGAACCAACGTCGTCGCCCAGTACTTCAAAGGTAGTCCGGAGGGCGGAGCGGCCCCCCAGCATTAAAGGTGGAACCAAATGCTGCTTTGACGTGCGATCAGGCCTCTTCGTCTGGCGAAGTGTGAGGAGGCGAGAGGATCTGCCGAAGGCAGGCTTGCGTCGCAGGCCAAGGTAGGTGTAGACGGGGGGTGGAAACTCCTATGGCGCGGCTGATTTCAAAATATACTCTTACATATAGTATACTCTCATATAAATATAGTATATAAAGAGCATTTGGGCAAAGAGTATATTTAAAGGTTTTATTGAATTGTCAATTTCGGTGCAGGTGCGAGGCACAGTCAAGTAAGCGCGAGAACCTCTTATTTTAAAACCTTGCGAACCCATGTGTTTGCAGCGATCATTAACTTAACATTTAAGGGGGGGGACATCACTCCGAAAACAGTGTTTTTGTAAAATCGTCATAAAAACCAAACGGGAACAGAAAAATTGTTCATATTTTACGAGATAAAGTATAAAACAACACTAAGTCAATCCGCCAGGGCAGTACAGCGCTTTCGTTGAAAACGCATTTTTGAGTGTTAGGTTAGACCATTTCGCACGGTTGCTGCGCTGGACGCCAAACGGTTTGACCTAGATCAACGTAATTTGGTGACAGCCTTCCTGAGATGTCTGGCTATGGTGGGTACCTCAATCACATTTAAAAAATCATTTAAAGTTCTATTTGTTTCATGCGAAAAAAAATGGTTCAATTTTTTGGGTCAAAATTGTTCAATTTTGAACGTTAAATAAATAATAAAAGTTGACCAATGCAAACTATTTTGCTACCCACCATAGCGGCATGTCGTAGGAGCTTCCATGCTAAATCTCCCCGCTGTAGCTCAAAAACTGCGCCCTAGAGGCCTGCAACCGTTTGCAATTTCATGTTCCGAGAAAAACGCGATCAAAGTTGAGGAAACTGGGCTTTTCCCCTATGCATGTTTGTGGCCCACAACCTCCCAAAACTGCAATTTTTTGAACTTCGGAATGCGGTTTTCGCCATTCGACGCAGAAAAGAATGGTCTATAGTATAAACTAATAAAAAAAAGTTGTGATTTTTTATCATTTTGGAGTGATGTCCCCCCTTAACTAACACTGCTTTCATAACTTAAAATAAGACAATGTTCGTTAATGGTTAAGAGTGTGGACTTTTGCAGGTACTTCCAAAAGAATCTCCACACAAATTCGAGACACAAAAAAATAACTTTGAAACGAATTCCGAAGTTAAGGGTTATAACTTTCACTCGTACTATAACGCTATGATGTCCTTTTGAGGTAAGTTGAGCATCCCTGTGTGTCATCTGTAAGCTTGCGAAGTCTCATTTGTTCGCATTAGAAAGAACGTATCTGCATGCAATTTGCGAATGATCTGTTTGAATCTGGTTGAATTGCGACCCTCTGCAAACACAACGTTCGCAAAATTGCGAACTACCAGTTCGTAATACAATCAAGCCAATCTCTTCGCAAGCTACAAACCAAATACTTTGTAATCCGAACACACTCTTCGCACTCTCAGACTGTTATTGACTTTTTGTCCTTTGTTAAAGAGTATTTTGCACAGCAATAAAAAGTACTATTTCCTCAAAATCTATGTAAGATTTTGTTCGTTATACTGACTTAAAGTCAATTTTCAATTGACAAAGAGTCAATACGTAATTGACTTAACAAATAGTCAATAATTACTGACAACTAAGTCTTTGTAGTGAACAATATTGTACATGGTTACAATGGAAATACTACATATTATTGCTGCTTAAAAAACTACGTAAGCAAAGGACAAAAGTCAATAATGGAGAGAAAATAGTCAATACGAGTCTGAGAGTGCGCAAGGTTTTGAGAGTGCGATAATTTTGAGGCAAGAGAAGAGAGTGTAAAAGTCGGGTCACAGGTTTTGAGAGTGCATACCCCTCAGGCAAGAACACATTCTCTTTAATGCGATATTCCGACAAGGATCAAACATAAAAAGCGTGTTGATTTTTTTTAAAGACATAAAACAAATCACAAATCAATTTATTAAGAGGACACTTGATAGCATATGCTTTTGAAGTTAATTGCCTTCCACGCGGGAATAGATAGAGAAGTAAAAGTAGTTGCTCTGAACCTTTCTTACTTCAATTTGCCAAGACATAAATTGTGAAACATTACGAGGTATAGTCATACCCACACGTCCTGGGTGGACGTGAGTCTGAACAGAGCCTTGTTCGAGCTCGTAACTCTTTGTTTCATTGGAAATGCTTGGAGGAATTGGAGGAATTTCCAATGAAACAAAGATTTACGTTCGAGAAACGAACATCACATGAACTAAAGTACAGTAATACAGGTGAAATTGAAAACGGTGGTGTCTTGATTAAGTCCAGCGCGCTGCATCCCCGGAGTACGATATCACCTTGTAGAGAACAGCGACGATCCCAAAGAATAGGAGGGCCATGACGGAGTGGTAAGCGCGCAAGACCCACCCAAGTCTGTGAGGAGAGAGAAGACGACATTCTAATCATATCGCTATTGTAACCATCGCACTGTGGCGTCATGTATCGTAGCATGGCACAAGAGTGCGATGTAACAAAAAGAGCTCTTAGGAGTGTTATGAAAGTTTCAGTCCATTTTGATGCGTCCAAATAAAAAGGGGTACTTGGGTTCGATTGTGTTTTGAACCGAATTTTTTAAGTGTGCTCGTAATTCAAAGCCCGAGAATGCTTCGCACTACGGAGTACTTGTCTTTGCAAGGTTTCAAGAGCGTACATTACCTACGCAATCTGGCCGAGTTTTTCTCGACGTTGAACTCCTCCTTTAGAGTGTAAAGAAGCACTCCTCGCATTTGGTTCACCATGGTCGCGACCATCTGCTCCTCGCTGTCCCTTCCATTGTAAATCTCGAGGAAATCGAGAGTCTTGAGGTCTGAAGGATGAATCATCTCCTGCAATGTACGTTGGTTCTTCATGATGAACGTGAACTCCCTCATGAACGGGGCTATGCTTTGCATACCGATCGCGAGTTTCCGGTAGAGGCCCAGTGCCCTGCAACAATATAGATATACCTAAAAGGGTCTTTTTTTTATTTTTTAAGCGGTCTTGCTACCGCTTCTAGCTCTGCATTAGTGCTAGCGGCACATCGCCGATTCTTGAAATAAACTGCAAATCGTGATACCAAGGTGCCACTTGGCACACTTGTTCCTAAGACCCATTTGGTCGATTTGATCCATGTAACACTCAATTTTGTCCCTTAGGGTAGATTTTTTAGGGGGGGTGGGGGAAATTTAACGTTAAAATTGCGAACGGACCTCATTTTAGCTACAGACCCAAACTGGGTGTCGATTCCGAATGATTTTGACCCAAGGAATCCGAATATGATCCCGGAAATGCATTCCGACAACCGGAAGTCGGTCAAAATCCGCCATTTTTAATAAATGGCCGACTTCTTGCTGTTTAACGCTTTGAACGAAAACAGAGCCATGCGAGGTGTCTATACATATGTTTTCGAGGTCGGCGAGACCAATCGTGGTACCGGAAGTGACCTCAGGCAACCGGAAGTCACTCTAATCGACGTCACTAACACGCACAATGATGCACGGGGTGTCCATTCCTATGATTTTGAGAGCGGCAGGTCCAAACATGGCACCCTACGTGACGTGCGGCACCCGGTAGTGGAATCCAGTCCAGGTGCTACCAACACTGAAAATCTACCGGCGTGACTTCGTGCCGCTGCAGGGGCGTGAATAAAGTGTCACGTCTAAAGACGGCATGACAGAAAAGTCACGCCCAAAATCGGCGTGACTCAAATATTCACGCCAATTTTTGATGCGAATCTCTTGTCATGCCGAATTTTGGCATGACTTCATGCCGAATTTTGGCATGACTTCTCTCATAAAACGCGTTTTCAGTCACGCCAAATAAGGGCGTGACTCACATGTCACGCCGTTTATCGGCGTGAATTTCTTGTCACGCCAGTTTTTGGCGTGATTTTTTGTCACGCCATAATTTGGCCATGTGTCCGACCATTACGTTTTCAGTGAAGCATTATGAATGGGGAGAAACTGAGATAAGTAACGAACATTTGTGAAACCGTAGTAGTTACACACAGAAAAAACTCTACGAAGAACCGCTTTGTAATACGAAGAAAATGAAAGCATTGTAAAATCTACGAAGAAATGCTTCGTATTACGAAGCAAAATCCTTCGTAATACGAAGCACTTCTTCATAATACGAAGCATTTCTTCATAATACGAAGCAATTCTACAATGCGTTCATTTACTTTGTAGTTATGAAGCAAATGCTTCGTAGGCTTTTAAGAGTGCATAATTAAAATTTTATTTCAGGTCAATACTATTTCAAACATCTTGTGCACCGTTGTGTGCACCGTCGTTTCTGTCAAATTCTGGGTCCCTTCCATTTTACGGACTGCCGAAACACCATGGGAGCGAGATCCGACTCGAACTCCGGATTATTTAAGGGTCGGTAACCCGCAAAATGGCTGTTTTGGGGACTTGTTGAGTTGGTGGGACCGGCTAGTCAAAAATTCTACCCGTTAGGTTAATCGTGCAGAAAATAGAGCGCTCTTTCGAATGGCGTGTCGCACGAGGCTCTACGACGTCGGGTTTCGACGCTACGGGCTCTCAAAGTAGCTTAATTTCACTATTTTCACTCGAGATTTGAGCATATCAGCGCCGTTCGAAGTAGACTATCGGCGATTTCGCTCCGCTCTGGTTTAAATAGTGCCTACCCATTAGTCAACTCTCCCACAAAATGCCAGCTATCTCAGGCAACTTTAGAGGAACTGTGAACAATTGAAGTTTTGGGTCATTTTACCACTGCACTGAAAATCAAATAGTGATACATCTCACTCTGAGGGGTGAGACCGGGTGTATCACCGAAAAAAACGGTCGTAAACGCATGTATCGCCGAATAAAAGGTCGTACACAAATGTATCACCGAGAAAAAGGTCGTTCACAAATGTGAACTGAAAAAAGGGTAATACTTCCCCAGGAAATCAAGGGTCAATCTCGCTGATGTCTCACCTTTTTTTCGGTGATACACCTCTTGAAACGCTTTTAAAACATAGTGTATCAAGACATTTTTTACCGTGACTGATAAAATGGTTGCCCTTGAGACTGTCTTGAAGCTTCGGGACTTTCTCGTGGAGAAAATATTTTGACGTTGTGGGGTACCATTTAAACCAGAGAGGAGCGAAATCGCCACCGATGGTCTACTTCGAACGACGCTGATATGCTCAAATCTCGAGTGAAAATAGTGAAATTAAGCTTCTTTGAGAGCCCGTAGCGTCGAAACCTGACGTCATAGCCTCGTGCGACACGCCATTCGAAAGAGCGCTCTATTTTCTACAAGATAAACCTAGTGGGTAGATTTTTTGACCAGCCGGTCCCACCAACCCAACAAGTCCCAAACCCTAAACTAACAGACATTTTGGGGGTTTTCGACCCTTAAATAATCCGGAGTTCGAGTCGGATCTCGCTCCCATGGTGTTTCGGCAGTCCGTATAATTGAAGGAACCCAGAAAGAACCGACAATAACACAGTAGTATCATTAATTTGACAGAAACGACGGCGCACATAACAGTGCACAAGATGTTTGAAATAGTATTGACCTGAAATAAAATTTTAATTATGCACTCTTAAAAGCCTACGAAGCATTTGCTTCATAACTACAAAGTAAATGAACGCATTGTAGAATTGAATCGTCTTACAAAATTGTACATAAACATTTAGTGTGTATTACGAAGGATTTTGCTTCGTAATACGAAGCATTTCTTCGTAGATTTTACAATGCCTTCATTTTCTTCGTATTACAAAGCGGTTCTTCGTAGAGTTTTTCTGTGTGTAACTACTACGGTTTCACAAATGTTCGTTACTTACCTCAGTTTCTCCCCATTCATAATGCTTCACTGAAAACGTAATGGTCGGACACATGGCCAAATTATGGCGTGACAAAAAATCACGCCAAAAACTGGCGTGACAAGAAATTCACGCCGATAAACGGCGTGACATGTGAGTCACGCCCTTATTTGGCGTGACTGAAAACGCGTTTTATGAGAGAAGTCATGCCAAAATTCGGCATGAAGTCATGCCAAAATTCGGCATGAAGTCATGCCAAAATTCGGCATGACAAGAAATTCGCATCAAAAATTGGCGTGAATATTTGAGTCACGCCGATTTTGGGCGTGACTTTTCTGTCATGCCGTCTTTTGACGTGACACTTTATTCACGCCCCTGCAGCGGCACGAAGTCACGCCGGTAGATTTTCAGTGTTGGTAGCACCTGGACTGGATTCCACTACCGGGTGCCGCACGTCACGTAGGGTGCCATGTTTGGACCTGCCGCTCTCAAAATCATAGGAATGGACCCCCCGTGCATCATTGTGCGCGTTAGTGACGTCGATTAGAGTGACTTCCGGTTGCCTGAGGTCACTTCCGGTACCACGATTGGTCTCGCCGACCTCGAAAACATATGTATAGACACCTCGCATGGCTCTGTTTTCGTTCAAAGCGTTAAACAGCAAGAAGTCGGCCATTTATTAAAAATGGCGGATTTTGACCGACTTCCGGTTGTCGGAATGCATTTCCGGGATCATATTCGGATTCCTTGGGTCAAAATCATTCGGAATCGACACCCAGTTTGGGTCTGTAGCTAAAATGAGGTCCGTTCGCAATTTTAACGTTAAATTTCCCCCACCCCCCTAAAAAATCTACCCTAAGGGACAAGATTGAGTGTTACATGGATCAAATCGACCAAATGGGTCTTAGGAACAAGTGTGCCAAGTGGCACCTTGGTATCACAATTTGCAGTTTATTTTTGCCTACCGCTAGCACTACATCCGATCCCCCCATCCCATCCACCCATCCATCCGTTCCATCAGCGCGCTCGGAGGGGACTGCATGGTCGTGTTGGTCGTCTGTCGTCGTCCTCGCCTCCCGCCGCGCCGCCGCCTCCCCGCGCCAGTCCTCACTCCTCACAGCCACCCCCTCCCTCCTTGCCCCCTCTCTGCCCGGCCTCCCCGGCCGGTCACGGCAAGACCGCTTTGCTAAGCTTGCCTTGGCGGAACTTTTTAAGCGGTCTTGCTACCGCTTCTAGCTCTGCATCCGATCCCACTCATCCCATCCCATCCCATCCATCCATCCATCTATTCAGCGCGCTCGGAGGGGACTGCATGGTCGTGTTGGTTCCGTCGTCCGTCGTCGTCCTGCGCCGCCACGCCGCGCCGCCGCGCCAGTCCCCACTCCTCACAGCCACCCCCTCCCTCCTTGCCCCCTTTCTGCCCGGCCTCGCCTGCCAGGCCACGGCAAGACCGCTTTGGCCACGGCAAGACCGCTTTGCTAAGCTTGCCTTGGCGGAACTTTTTAGCAGATGATACGTTCACGTATCAGCGTGCTTGTACTCTCGTGCAGAGAGTACCGAGTTTCCGGCTAGCCAGGCAGGAGTTGCCTCGTTGCCTGACTAGCAAGCCTAGAAGAGGCCGAGCGCCTCGCTGGCAAGGCAGCGGCTGGCTGGCCTGCCTAGAAGATTATGAGCGGAGGGCCCGCAGCGTGCCGCGCCGTCGCGCCGCACCGTCGCGCCGCACCATGAATCGGGGCGCCTGCGGGGGCTCGGGTTGCGCGCGCGGCGTATAACCTCGACACCCAGTTATCTCTAGTACTCATGAAGTGCGTCCCTCGCGTTGCGCGTCGTCACGAGACTCTGCTAGCACGCATCGCGTAGCTGCCCCCCTCGCCCATTCCCTTGCCGAGACGCCACGTCCCGCCGCGCCCCGCCACACCCCGCAGCAGTCTACACACACACGCACTTGAGCCTTGAGTGCGTAGAACGCATAGTGCAGCGCCCCCCCGAACCCCTGCCCCTCTCGAGAAGCGGCGCGTCGGCAGTCGGCAGTGTGCGCCACTCTTGCTTATCTATCTTGAGGTCGGGTTCGGGTGGCGCGCCGGCCGGCCCCGCTTGGATGTGGCTGACACGCCGCGTGCCGCAAGCCGCCTTGCCCTAGTACCGAGCACAACTTTTACGGGTATTGAGTATTTATGTGATTAGCCACCAAATTGTGCATCCTCGCGTTGAAACGACGAAAATGATACCCAACACAAGTGGTATCGGCACGTTAGGACATTCAAAAGTTATACTAAGATTGACATTTCCATAAATTACCATGTGTAACAAATTTGTCTAAAAAAGAGTTCCGAGTGTTTACTCTTTGAAATAAATTGACAAAATGTCGCATTCATACATTGAAATAAACATTCTCATAAGTATCATCTGCTTTCACGTTAGCGTTAACGTTTTTTTTGTTTCGAAAAGCGCACATGGCAAGAAAAAGTATTATCAGTACATCAAACAAGTAAAGAAAACTGGGAAAAAGTACAACGAGGACAAATGAATGCTTGGCTCCGCGGGGGAATCCATGTGGACCTGAAAGTTTGTATCTCCAGCTGCTTTGTAAATGGGCAGGCTTACGAGTACACTCTTTAGCGTGTACTCTTCACACTAAATGTCATAAGACCTGCTGATACAATTTTGTCCCTGTCTGGCGACGCATTTTGTCAATTTTCCACAATTTTTCACTAGGCAATTTGTCCCGCCTGGCGGACACAAAATTGCATCACAATTGGATGTGCGTAAAACATCATCATTCATGCGACAATAAAAAGTCCAATGACATTAAGTGTGTGCTTATCGCTCCGCTTTTTCTTGCAGGGTGGCGTCTCGTCGTGCGGCATTCCGGTATGTTGCTTCTTTTCGTTTTACGTGGGTTACGCTGTCGTGTCCTGTGGGTAGTTTAACTCATCTTACCTCGGCTTTTGGCCAAGTGCTCGAGCCAGGAGGTCTACGACGAAAGCGAAGACGAGGTGGTGGTAGAAGTGAAGGAGCGCGTACAAGACGGGGCATGGCTCGTACCGCAAAGAGGGTGGTCGGAGAGACCCCGGATACGGTACTTTGTAATCGACGCCATGCTTGTGCTGCAGATGTGCGGCTTCGGAGAAGTTGAGTCCGAAGTCAGTTCCCACCGTTGCGTTAACCACGTCCACCTGTTCGTCGCTGAGAGAAACATGGAATCCTTACACTCTCTATTTCTTACACACTAAATGTCATGGGACTTTTTTTGTCCCATGAATGATGCAATTTTAAGCGCATCCGGTGGTGATGCAATTTAGTGTCCGCCAGGCGGGACAAATTGTCTGGTGAAAGTACAATTTGCAGCCGGCGTCGGACAAAATGTGTCTCCGGACTGCAACAAAATTGTATCAGCGTTGGATGTGCTATAAATTGCATAAATCGTGGGACAAAAAAGTCCCATGACATTTATATGATTTCCCCTTCCCCCGGACTTTTGGCCAGGGGGGGAGGAGCAAGGAATCTAGAAGTGATGGCCAGATCCAAGCAATGTGCGAGTATATCTTTGAAAAAAGGTCACGGACAACCCCAAGAACTTCAAATTTTCTCAGCTCGCTTCGCTCGCAAACAATTTAGGTTTACCAACCTTAATATCCCTAAGAACCACAAATTTTCTTAGCTCGCGGACAAACGCTGACCATCCCAGAAAGTCGTAAGAACCGCAAATTTTCTCAGTTCACTTCGTTTGCAAACAAATTACGCGTTTGCCACTCTAATAAGTCTTAAGAACCGCAAAATTGCTCAGCTCGCTCGCAAACAAATAACGTTTGCCACCCTATAAAGCCCCAAGAATCGCAAATTTTCTCAGCTCGCCTCGCTCGCACACGTTTACCGCCAAATAACTCTTAGAACCGCAAATTTTCTGAGCTCGCTTCGCTTGCAAACAATTAACATATGCCACCCCTTACATTCAAACGTACGTTAACAACTGAAAACCCCCCGATAGGTAGACAACCCTCATTGCAGACAAAAGTTCCCCCACCCCCTGACGCGAAGAGACGGCTACGTCCCTGCATAAGCCGGCTCAGCATCGAGGCCAAAGGTCTTCATGGGACTTTTTTTTGACCCACGACTTATACAATTTTGAGCACATCCGACGCTGATACAATTTTGTTCCCACCTGGTGACACATTTTGTCCGACGCCAGCTGCAAATTGTACTTTCACTTGACAATTGTCCCGCCTGGCGAACACAAGATTGCATCACCAACGGATGTGCTTAAAATTGCATATGTGCTTAAAATTGCATCATTCGTGGGACAAAAAAAGGCCGAAGACATTCACTGGTAGAACTGAAGCGTAGTAGAACTACGCTCGGCTTCAAGCGTAGTTCTCCATTTCGCCTCTTTCCCGCCTATCTAAATGCATGGGAGAGTTTCTTCTCTACGCTTGACTCTAAGCGTAAAGTCCTCAAGCGTAGTTGTATGCTTGAATGAAGCATACAACTACGCTCCAGTTTTACCAGTGTTTAGTGTGTTCCCCTCGCTAGTAGTACGGCTGATTCCTTCGTATTACGCATGATTCTTTATAATACGAAGTGTATTGTGTACGAGTGTCCTGAGCTCAGTTTGCTGAGAAGTTCGTAACATGATAGCACAATTTTTTCGTACGCTACTCCTAAGTTACTGCAAGATACTTGAGTGTTAAAAGAACACATCTGAATTTACAGAGCACCCGACAATACCTGAGCTGCAGGCCCAGGCCCTTGGACCAGGATGCCAAAACAATGAGCTTGGTAGCAACATCTACCGGGACGGAGTCGAGGGCCATGTCAAGGTTAACGTTCACGTAGCGCATCACGCCTTTGAGGTTGGCCACCACAATACCGGCCGCTCCGTTCAGGTTGTCGATCCACCCCGGCAATGGGTCACTGTGTGAGGTTACCACTGAAAACAGCAAAACAAACAAAATTACTGGAGGAAACTGCTATAAAACTCAGAAATGAGTACACAAATCGATGAAATGTGACGAAATTCTTGCGTTTCTTCTGCCTAACATCGCTGGAGCGTCCGATACATTCATTCTTTTTGAGATCTACTCGACTTTTTTTCGACGTTTAGAGTAAATTAGACCGCAAGCATGAAGGAGTTCACCCAGGGAATGATTTACTTGTTACAAAAAAAATTGCAGAAAAGAACATTTTCTCAGTCTGAGACTAACATTCTTGTTTCTGCTGCGCCTGCGCACTTTTGATCTCTTCGACCAATGACAAGCAGAGCGGGAACTGCTTCGAACGATAACCCGGTCCCTGATTGGCTGGGGCCTGCCATACCGAAGAAGAGCGGCGCGTCCATGGCTCTCTCTCAAACGCGTCGGAGCAGCAACTGCTCTCGTAGCACAGTGGTAAAGTGCCAGCCCTCCTGGATAGTAACCCGGGTTCGGTTCCCACCGAAGCGCCACAGTTTTCTCTGGCAAATTTATCACGTAGCCACCCAGAGAATGGACGGGAGTGTCAAGATTTCCGAAAAGGAGGGGGAGCAGTTTTTTTTTCGAATTTTTTTGGTGGGAGAGAAGGGGCACTGGCAAAAGATAAGGCTGGCGGAATCGAACCCGGGACCTGTGACTTTCCAACGTGGGCCTTAACCCCCAAGACTGCCGGACATGCCGAAACGTGCTGCCTCACGCACTGCAAAGCACTTGCTTCGAATCCTAGCAGAGGCAACTTGTTCCCGGCGTGAATGGCTGTCGACGAGGCGGGCGCGTGTTGCATTGAGGTTCACGATTGATGTAGTCACCATCGCCGCTCAAAACACGGGAAAAAAATTAGCGCGGTGCCGGGACTCGAAGCTGGTCCGCGGCTCGAGGCTTGCCGTGGAACGCGGCCTGAGCATCTCGGACACAGTGGTATCAATAGGGTACTTTCGTAGAATCCTGAACCGGAAGCAAGCAAACCAGCAGACGCCAAATTGGCCGGAAACTAACCTCCCTTCGGATCCAAAACTATAGCCGAGCTGTACAAATATTGCTCGCGAAACACATAAGTACTGCAAACAAGTATCAAACGACTGTTTATGTTCAAGTGTGGCCGATACCTTTGACGAACGTCTCTTTCCCATGTCAAGTTTGGATCTACTTCCGCCAACATGGCGTCTGTGTGCTCCCGGTTCAGGGATCTACGAAAGTACCCTATTTGGAGGCTCGACACCATTTAAAAAATGAACCATCCAGCTGAGAGTCGAACCCGGATCCTTCGGAGTCAAGCGCGGGCGCCGTATCCATTGCTCTATGGAACGGGTTGACAGCTTGGCACGCAAAGGCGGCACTTCTTTGGAGTTGAGTGGCGGGGAGTGCCTACATCGCGAAACTAATAAAGCCGCGCGCCCAGTCACTTTCCTTCGTCGTTCCACCTTCGTGGCGAAGTGGGCAAGGCTACTGCACCCCACGTCAGAGGTTCCGAGTTCGAACCTTGCCGCCACATGCAAGCGTTTTGTGTCAGTTCTCTCGAAACCTGAGCAAACATTTGTCTCATCCATGAGACAAAAGGCGTGAGAAAAATGCTCAATTTGAGAATAAAATGTTTGATTCGAATCAAATATCATCAAAAGTCAGGTGAGACAAAATCAAGCATCGATGCAAGTTAATCGTTCCCTGGGTGTTAAGATAAATCAAAATGGACGGAATTCTCGTCCGGAGACCTTAAAATCACCGGTTCACTGAAAAACAATTAATTTTGATGAAAGTGCAAAAATATTTAACCAGCCCCTTGCCGTCTACACTACACTCTACACACTAAATGTCATGGGACTTTTTTTGTCCCACGATTTATGCAATTTTAAGCACATCCGACGCTGATACAATTTTGTTGCCATCTGGAGACACATTTTGTCCGACGCCTGCCGCAAATTGTACTTTCACTAGACAATTTGTCCCGCCTGGCGGCCACAAAATTGCATCACCACCGGATGTGCATAAAATTTCTTCATTCATGGGACAAAAAAAGTCCCATGAGTGTGTAGGGGCATAGCTGGGCATAGCTTTGGTAGACAGTTTATCAAAAACGATGCGGAAGTGTAGTGTACGGCACATCTTTTGGTGATGCTACGGAAATTGGTGAAATGCCTCACTCTCTGAAATTCAGTGGAATAAATAGAGATGGCCTCAGTAAATACACGCACAACTGATCCAAATTCAGGCGTGCGTGTATTTACTGAGCCATCCCCGAATAAATACACAACATTCAGTGGAATAAATAAACACGAAAGTAAAACGGGGCGCAAAAGAAAATGACTACACCTTCAGCCATAATCCCTGCAGAAGTCACGTACCAATGGATGGCCTGACGATGATGATTGGAAGATCCCGAGATGCTTCTTGCACGAGATGCTCAGCCAGACCCTTCGTAAACGTGTACGTGTTCGGCTGGGGACCACGCAACCTGAGCGGTGCCAGAAGTGTGAGTAAACGAGTCTCGCTCGAAACGTAAGTACTTGAGAACTTGCCCAAGCACGGGGCATGAAGTGAGTGCCTAAATGACATACACTGTTGACACTCTCATCCCAGGAACGTGACATCACGTTGAAAGGAATGTGACAAAATGTCACGTTCTTTTGGACGTGAATCAGCTAGCTTATTCGCGTAGAAACGAACGTGATACAATGCTCAAAAGAACGTGGCAGTTTGTCACATGCCTTTCAACGTGATGTCACGTTCCTGGGATGAGAGTGGAGTGTGTGCTTGTTTTGATACGCAGGCGCGTACACTCTCAGCGTCTTAATGACTTTATCGTCAGTAACCAGACACTATAGCCTACGGTATTTTCTTTGTCGTCACTAAAGTGTCCGAATGTAAAGCAACTACCTTAGGTATCAGATTTTCGTTGCAAGCTATGGAATTCAGCCTAACAAACATAGTTCATAACCTTCAAGTCCTTTCCCGTGCATTTAAAACTGAGATGCTCCGTTAACTTTGATTAGCCATGCGGTGATCACGCCACAGATATTTTAGAACACAATAGATTTTCGTACACGTAGTTTTTCGTGCATATAGCGTTGCACGAAATGGGGCATACGCATTGAAACGCACACGGTGAAAACGGTTCTTGGTTTTCCCAGGAACTCCCTGGAAAGCGCCTATGCTTCTACCATAGGCTTTCTGGGAAAACCAGGTAACGTTTTTACCGTGCCAAAATTCGTGCGTAGTATGATAACGTTTATTTGTTCCGCAGCACCATTTGCGATGTTACGCGCGAATAGGGTACTCTCGTAGATCCTGAACCGGAAGCAAGCAGACGCCATATTGGCCGGAAACTAACCTCTCTTCGGATCTAAAACTAAAGCGGAGCTGTACAAATGTTGCTCGCGAGACACATATGCACTGCATATAAGTATAAAACAACTGATAATACAAGTGTGGCCGATACGTTTGACTGTCGTCTCGTTCCTATGTCAAGTTGATCTACTTCCGCCAACATGGCGTCTGTGTGCTTCCGGTTCAGGATCTACGAAAGTACCCTATTGGTGCAGTTTACGCCTGCGCTCAAATTTGTGCAAACCTAAGCATATACTCAGTAATTTAGTGTGTGGTCCCCTGGTCTTACTTTGGTCCTAGGAAGTCGATGGCTTTTTGGTCTTTGGCGGGCAGCTCAGCAAGTTGAAGAGCTCTCCTCCAGTCCAGAGTATTCGAGTACACGTGCTCTTCGATGGGGTTCTGGTTGGTGTATGAGTAGGCCGTCGAAACGTGGACCAGGACCTGTAAATGGTGATTGTCTATGAGACGCAAAACCTCTTATTCGACAGTTGTTTTTTAGAAGGACAAAAGCAGTAGTTGCTCAGACCGATCGGAACGGGTTGGATGAGGAAATCTAGCCGAGGGGTGAATCACTCAGCGTTGTGGTGTACACATGAGTACATGAGTACGCGTGAGTACACCTCCCTTTACTCATATAAATTTTACATTTGTAAACAATTTGAGGCTTAATTTAGCGTTTAAAATGACAAATTGGTCGAAAAACTAGTAAATTTCACCCTTTTTAACCTTGTGAGTACACTGAGTACGGGCAAATTTGTACTCATGAGTACACTAGTGATTCACCCCTCGAATCTAGCCCTAGCGACCATTTTTATGATTGTTGGTCCTGATCATACTGATCTCGCAAAGGTGGTTATGGTCGATAGTCGATCGTGACAACTGAAAATTCGTCTGGTGACAGCCTATTGACGACCATTCTACACTCTCATCCCATTTTATCAATATTCATTGACGTTTGTAGGTACGCACAAGAGTTTTGTTGAGAATTTGTGAAGACGAAATTGATAATATTGTTTGTAGAACAAACAAGAATGTTAAGCGCACAAACGCCAATACGTTACTAAACAAACACTCAGTACGAGTCTGAGAGTGTACTACACACATTGCAATGTCCTTAACGAGCACAGCATGAATTTTTTAGATTTGATTTTTGAGTTTGTGTGGGTTGTAGGGTTACTGCCACGCTTCACTGACTTGGAAATTTACTATGTAAAAACTCAATGCGGTCCCAAGTTTCTTTTTTTCCCCACGCTACTTTTGAAGAAAGGGCATCAAAAGTTACCCTGCTCCAGATTTTGTTTTGTCAATGAACTTGATACTTTGTTCGAACTATTACATCTGATTAAAACTCAGCTAAGCAAAAATAATATAGGCGCTAAACTTCTGCTTTTCGAAGATGCCAAAAATAACCACCACATTTGCTAAAGACCGCTGAAACTGCTAAAACCGCAACAGGAAACCTATTTTAAAGTCAAGGCTCTCAGAAAAAGGTCACTCTCAGACTCGTTTTTGACTTTGAGTTGAGTTCATGGAATTGACAATCTGGCAATAGTACATCTGATTTTGATTTTTTGTGCAACAATACTATGTACTTTTCAGTTTTGCTCCTAATATCTGCATTTGTGTTAGTACTTATTGACAAAGAAGAATTCCGAAATAATTTTATGCAGTAAATTGTTTGTATCTAAGATGAAAGTACTAAATATTATAGTTGACACAAGGCTTTAGTGCCCGGTTACAGACGAGTCAATAAGAGTAGGAGAGTGTGGGCGAGTAAACCAGAGGTTTTCTGACCCAGATAAGGGAACCGAAAAAGGCCTTGCCGACAGGGCAACTGTAATTGCCAGGCCAAGTTTGGCGGAAGGGGCAGAGGGGCACTTGGAGGACGGCACCCTACAGTGCACATTGTGCGCATGAAAACTAGGCGCACTGCCCGCACTTGGCTTCCTTGCCCCGTCGCAACCCAAATTGACCGCAAGTAGCGAATACAGAATCTAGTGGTGGAAACCTCTTGCATTCCCACTCTCGACCATAAGAAACAAGTAGCTTTTAAACTGACGAAGTCTGCACTTCCAAAACAACTGGAATGACTTAAACTACACACTAAATGTCATGGGACTTTTTTTGTCCCACGGTTTATGCAATTTTAAGCACATCCGACGCTGATACAATTTTGTTCCCGTCTGGTGACACATTTTGTCCGGCGCCAGCTGCAACTTGTACTTTCACTAGACAATTTGTCCCGCCTGGCGGACACAAAATTGCATCACCACCGGATGTGCTTAAAATTGCATAAACAGTGGGACAAAAAAAGTCCCATGACATTTAGTGTGTAGTATTACTTTCAGTTGGTTCGACTAAATCGTACTTGGTTAGCTGGTTTTCAGCCAAATTTCAGTCAAAAAGAACCGAATTAGGCGGATTCAAGTGCAAATTCAAGTGTGAGACAGCCGCTCACTCTATGTAGCAGTTGGTTCGCCTGAATCGTACTTGTTGAATCGTGTTCGTTGAATGGTACTTAGTAAGTTGGTTTTTCAGCCAAATATCAACCAGCGCGAACCGAAGTTGTCGGAAGGGCAAGCTACAAATTCAAGGGTGAGACAGTCAGCGTGAACTACCATGCCACACGCTTACACACTAAATGTCATGGGACTTTTTTTGTCCCATGAATGATGCAATTTTAAGCACATCCGGTGGTGATGCAATTTTGTGGCCGCCAGGCGGGACAAATTGTCTAGTGAAAGTACAATTTGCGGCAGGCGTCGGACAAAATGTGTCTCCAGATGGCAACAAAATTGTATCAGCGTCGGATGTGCTTAAAATTGCATAAATCGTGGGACAAAAAAAGTCCCATGACATTTAGTGTGTACAAGTGTTGAGCCATACGTTCTTCGCAAATGAAGCCTAAGGTGTATGTATACCTTGAGCCTGGGCATGTCCCGGGCAAGCTGCACGATGTCCTTGGTGCTCTGCAGGTTGGTGCGCAGGGCCTTCTGGAGCGGGTCGTCGAAGCGCACCGAGGCCGCCACGTGGAACACGACGGACACCTCGGCGCACAGCAGCTGCCGGTCCGCGTCGGAGAGGCCTAGCGACGGCGCCTCGATGTCGCCGGGCACCGTGCGCACCTTGGACAGGGCGGCCGGCTGCTCCGCGCGGAGACGGTCGAACAGCTGCGGCAAGCAAGACTGTCTACTTGGTACACACTTACAAAGGCATGCTTTGCGAGTGCACACTTACAAAGGCATGCTTGGCAAGTGCACACTTACAAACGCATGCTTGGCAAGTGCACACTTACAAACGCATGCTTGGCAAGTGCACACCCACAAAAGCATGTTTTGCGTAGCATAACTCCATGCTTGCTGAGCATAGGCATTTGTAAGTGTGTACTTGCCAAGCATGCGTTTGTAACTGTGTACAAAGTACACAGTTACGTTTGTAGAGTAATTGTTTTACGTTGCACGGTGGACCAGAAGATCGGTTGAGGGGGCGAGAACTCTGGACGCGTTTTGAGCTCCAGAGTCGCTAAACAGGACACGAACCACTCCTGTGACCCCACTAATGGATTCCTCGTTCGTAGAGCAATCCATTTAGTGGGGTCACACCCTCGGCCCGAGTCCTGTTTGGCGACTCTGGAGCTCAAAACGCGTCCAGCGTTTCGGCCGCCTGCGCCTGTCTTCTGGCCCACTGTACTGCGGCAAGCAAGCAGCGCACTTTCAAATGAAAGTCTGCACCGACATTTCATAGTGGAGCTTTTCTCCACGACCCATGAACCAGAAGCGAGGGGGCAACCACATTGGATGTTTGGAGACACAAGATTTTTTAAAACTAAAGATTTCATCGGATTTCGCGCGAGATTTTAACCGATATTACGCCCAAAATTTGCTTGTTTTGGTCCTTTTGGGGGGCAATATTTCAGATTTCTAGCGCTCAAGGGGACACAAGATTTCTAGAGAGGTTGCCCTCTCGACCAGAAGTTTTGACTCCAGACTTCTGTCACGCCGATTTTGGGCGTGACACGTTGCAGTTCCATAATTTGGCCATTGTACCGGAACGTCCAGCAGCACACCGAGCCTGTCCTTCGGGTCCACGCCCTTCTTGGAGCGCATCAACAGGTAGATGGGGCCGATGTCGGGGCAGCTCCGCAGCAACAACTCGATCAGGACTCTGCCCAAGAAGCCTGAGCCACCCGTGATGAACACGCTGCGTCCTGCGTACCTGTGCAATATGTAGACCCGTTTAGATGCAAAAATTATGGACGAAAATAGTAAAAATTCAGAGGTGATAAGTAATAACTTTACACTCTTTACTTTTTGCCTTTTGTTGAAGATTATTTTACACAGCAATAAAAAGTACTATTTCCTCAATATCTATGTAAGATTTCGTACGTTATATTGACTTAAAGTCAATTTGCTATTGACAAAGAGTCAATACGCAATTGACTTTTAAAAAAGTCAATAATTGATGACAATTTGTTCTTTATAGTGAACAATATTGTACATGGTTACAAAGAAAATACTACATATTATTGCTGTTAACCACGTAAGCAAAGGACAAAAAGTCAATAATGGCGAGAAAAAAGTCAATACGAGTCTGAGTGTGTAGCCACCCTTGTGCTAGTGCCACGAAAATTCTCACCGTGGTTCGGCTAATATGATGTTTCTCTAAATTTTGTCAATTATTGTGACCATCAGGTACCATGGGTACAAGCCAACTAAGTTAGGGAGCCAGAAACATCTTGCTCTGGTTTGCTAAATGATGCTCACCACTCCGCCACACTGGGGCGGCTCGCCCTCTCGTTGGCGTGCCAGTCGCGCGCCTGCAGGATCCCATCCCGCACCGCGTGCAGGCGCTCCCTCTTGGTGCAGTCCATCTGGGGGCAGAATTCGAATTGGCAAATCGACTGCACTATCACTCCAGAAGCGTGACAAAACGTAGAAAAGAGCGTCAGGCCCCTTTGAGCATCCACTCTCAGACCCACATGGACTTTTTTCTCTCTTGCTTATTGCGTTTTTTGAGCAAACGTAAAATGTACTATTTTCTTCTTAACTATGCACAATTTTGATCGTAATAAAGATAAAATTGTCAATGGATCATGTAGAAATTGAAACGTACATTGCAAATAATAAAAAGTCCGGTTTAATGGACTAAGTACATTATACAATGAACAAAATAGTGCATAGATAAAAAGAAAATAGTACATATTACGTTTGCACAAAAACCTTTATGGCAAGAGATAAAAAGTCAATAAGAGTCTGAGCGTGTTGTGTCACGCTCATTTGAACGTGGACGAGCTGATTTGTGGTTGGTTCACATCCAAACGGGCGTGGCACTCTGCCGAGTGCACGTTCGTTCGAACGCGGAATGTGTCACGTTCGTTTGCACTGCAAGGAAAAGTGTGACTGGTACAACAGAAGTACAACAAAAACTGTTCAATAGAAGGCGTGGACCGCACAGCACTCGTCACGCCGGTTCCATTGTACTTTGTACAACAGTCGTTGTACTTTGTACTAGTACAATAAATTCCTGATAAAAAGAATTGCCAGGATTTTGTGTACTTTTGTTTTGGTTTTTTCTTGCGGTGTGGATGCCGCTGTACTTTTCAACAACTTTTGGGTTGTTCTTCAGGAAACGATAAGTAAGTATGCTTAAGCGCAGCCCGAAGCCTCAGTAAAATCCACCATGCAGCACACAAGTTACCTCTTCTATTCCGTGGCGGCGCTTGATTCTAGACTGTCACTTGCCTGACCTAGACTCTTTTCGCGCGACGCGCCGAGAAGGTCCGATGGAAATGAAAGGCCAGTCGGGGCCTTGCACAGTCGGTGCATAAAACAGTGGGGTGGGGTGCCACTAATTGTCTAGTTCAAAGTATACGGCTTCGTCTAACAAATGAATTGACTGACAAAGACTTCACCGAAAACATGTGCACTCTCAGCACGTTGCAGACTTTTATCTCGATTTGTATATGCAAGAAGTTTGTGCAACCGTAGTACGTACTTTTCGTTTCTTAAACAACTACTTAGGAACTATTAAATAGTGTAGGTACTGGCAATCTGTTTCAGTAAATAATTTTACGACGGAAAGTAGTGGGATTGTCTAGCAGCGGAACCCAACTCCAGAAATGAAAATACATTTAGACGCGTGTGGACTTTATTATTCACAGTCTACTGAACAGGAAGTGTGCAAAGAATTCGCAATACAATTATGACGATGAGGCATTATAAACGATGAGGCGTCTCGTGTACACTGTGGGAAAAAATCACAGTAAATCCTGTAGTGATTAGTACAGCTGTTACTGTGGTTCAAAGTACACGATTTACTGGACTTTTTTACAGGGTCTACTGTACTTTGTGCGGGATTTACTCTACCACGGGAGTGGAGTGCGGAATATCATGTACCAGGTACAGTACTGTAGCCAGGCACAGTAAATCCCGTGTTCTAAAGTACAGTAAATCCCGGCAAAAAAATTGACGGCATTCTGTGTTTTTTTCTCACTATAAAGTTGGTAATAACCGAGCTTAATAAGTAAATGTGAACGCCGGGCGTACTGTTCGAACTGGTGGAGCATCGAGCAGCCTGTCACGACAGGACCCGGTGTGGCGTACATCTACACTCTAACTCGTGCTAAGATTTTGTTTAATAACGCATTGACGTTTATGCACATCAATAAGCTTACTAACATTTTTATTTGTTCTACAAACTGTATTATCAATTTCGTCTTAGCAAATTCTTATCAACACGCTATTAATGCGCACAAACTTCAATAAATATTGATAAAATGTCGATTGAAGGATGAGAGTGTACCTTGTGATTGTTTCCTCTCTGGTGTGCTGAAGCTACGAGAACCCAGATGACCACCAACTTTAACGTTTTTAGCATAGGCACCACCTCTTTTGATATATGAACGTAACAGAACTAAGCGTTAAATTGTGATCATGAACCAATTTTTTCCTCTTTCGGGTGTCCGGTCGGGGAATCAGTGCGCATGTTCGTTCACTTCACATCCGACCATAGGTTCAAGTCCCTGAGAAAGAAACTTCGACTAAAAGTAATCCCTCCGTTCAGAGATTGAGGGCATTTATTTTTATTTCAGGATGGTTGCTTGCAGATGATGCTTGCGGGACCCAGCCGGGTCGGGAAACCGCCGTCGCCGTCCCGGCGGGCGTCGTTGGTGTGGGTGTGGTTCGTGGCTTCCTGGTTGTGTGACCTGGACACACAAATAAAAGATGTCCTCAAGTTAATGATCATGCACCGAAATTGCAAATAAAGGATTTTGGTAATTCGATGATGACAGAGAAAACAGCATCAATCAATGTCCCGGGACCAAAGTCTAAAGTCTTGCGTAAAGAAACTTTCGCGAATACAGTAATACGCAGAATACTATTTAAACATAAATTACAGCCATTTTTATTATTTCTTGATTTTAAGCCTTTCCTTTTGAACCCCGAGAAGAAAATCCAAAAGAGATCCGTGGAGGGGAACATATGGAGGTGCAATTGTACCCCCTTTAAACTTATTTTCTAAATGACACACACTCGGTGGACACATTAAGTACCGCCTTCTTCATGTGGGTTGAAGGGTGTGTAACTCATAAGTACACTCTCTTCAGCGTGTACTCACGAGTATACACTCCCACGAACGTGTACTCAGCTGCATGTATTGTACCGACCTAAGCACACTCTGGCTGCAGTGTACTCAGCTAAGCACACTCTCGTTAGAGTGTACTTAGCTGAGCACACACCGAACAGAGTGTACTGAGCACACTGTAGAGTTTGCAGAGCGTGCGTGCAAAGCAATGCACTTAAAGCTTCGAGTATTGTTTTGTGGCGTCGATTTTTTTCAAGTGCAGATTTTTTTTCGTTGAGTTGCGTCAGATAATGGTACAAGCGTACTAACAAGACGTTTATCTTTTTTTTTTTCAGTATCAATAAATGTGTGTCGACAATAAGTTCAATCAAGCCACTCTCATTCCAGGAACGTGACATCACGTTGAAACGAACGGGACAAAATGTCACGTTCGTTTGAGCATTGTGTCACGTTCGTTGGAATGTGAACAAGCTGATTTTTGGCCGATACACACCCAAACGAACGGGACATTTATTCAGATTCGTTTGAACGTGATGCCACGTTCCTGGAATGAGAGTGACTCTTGGCGGCGACGTGCTGCTTCACCTCGACGACACGCACGTGAACACGCGTTTCAATTTCCAGCAGCTGGTCGAACACACTCTCAATACTTGTTGCAACTTCATGAAGATCATCATGGATGTCATCTCGTGGGCGTCTCAACAATGTCATCAACAGGTTTCATGACTTTCATCTCAGAAAAACTACCCTTGAAAATGTTCAGTGATGACCAAAATTTTCACAGTGCAAGGGCGTTCGACCGCTTTTTAACAGGGGCGCGCAGCGAGACCCCTTCCTGATTCTGCGCTGGTGGCTTTATCGCTTTTTAATTGGTGGGAACCGCAGCAGACTGATTCCGAGAGTCGTTTTCGTCGCTCTGTCTCTCTCGCACTCGACAGGCGTCCCGCATAGGTGCGAGAAAGACAGAGCGACGAAAACGACTCTCGGAATCAGTCCACGAGGCGCCGTGAATAGGGTAAAAGGAAGAGGTGGCTTGCATCAAGAGAGCCTTGGTCGATCACGCACGCCAACATATCTGATGAGGGGTCGGCGGCGCTGCCGCCTCACGGTTCGGCTCAGGGATTCACGTCCCAGGTTCGGCGGTGGCGTGAGTGAGCGGTCTGCACGTTTCCTCAAAGATTCAGATTCAAGGTCAATAGGTAACTCACGAGGCAACTTTTTCCAAGTCCCATGTACTTCGTATCAAATGAAACGACAATGCTCGGTTGCCTCAGCAAACGGAGCTGACAAGGGAACATAATCAGGGGGTACACTCAGATTCCAGCCAAACTATTTTTTTCGGAAGAGTAACATATAAGATTAAGAAAGCACCTCAAAGTTGGTGCCAAGATATATATCTACACCCTTTCCCAATTTTTTAAAATCTAAAAAAGGGGTAAAATAAGCCTTTTTGCATTGTATGGGTCATTTTCGGACATCGAATCGGAAAATTTGAAGCCGAGTTTCTAATCATTTCCTTCAATGTTTGGTCCCCTCCTGACGAAAATGAGAGAAAATTTTGGTCTGTTTCATATATTATCATATTTTGCTCATATTTGGTTCGACTGCCCAATTACGACCGAAAATCTGCTCGTTGCATGTAAAAACATGGGCCATTTTACCCCTTTTTTCGGTTTAAAAAAATCAGGAGGGGCGTGGATATGTATCTTGGCACCAACTTTGGGGCGCATTCTTAATCTTATATGTCATTCTTACGAAAAAAAAAAGTTTGGCTGAAATCTGAGTGTACCACTTGAATATGTTCCCTTGTGAGTAAATTGTGATCTTTACTGTGCCTTACGTTTTTAAACTTCTACGAAACATTTGCCTTTCCTGACAGAATATCCCGGATATGATTGGCCTTCGCGAAAACCCTCCACCCGCACGAGGTATGTCACTCTCGTGTCACGAGACTTTTTGCTCTCAAGAATGATTATCTCTGTCAGAAGAAGTCCCAGTATGCCACATAGCTTTCATCAACTTTCATATAAAACTAAACCAAAAAACTCCGATCTCTGACATAGCCGCTGTGTTATGAGTTGTAGTAGACCCAGTCAGAGGTCCCGTTTCTTGTGACCGTTAAAACTGCCCCCTCCACCTCGAAAGTCCTCCCGCACCAGCCGCCGCGCTTCCCCCGGCCCTGTGGAGGGGATATTTGTAACGGTCGCAAGCAGCGAGACCTTTGGCTGGGACGACTATACCGCCCGCCACACAACCATGAAATCAAACGTGGGCTTCTTCACACTTCTTGGTGTGGAGTTAAGTCTCTCCACGCTTCAAGTGCAGAGTAGGCCTAGCTCACAGAACCCCTATCTCTTTGCACGGTGCAAACGTTGACAATCCTACACTTGAAGTGTGGAGACTGCAAACTCTGCACTTCTAAGTGTGGAGACTGAAAATTCCACACCGCCGCATTTCTAGTGAGGGAGTTCTCCACGTTTGGTTTCTCAGTAAAGACTCCTTTTTGCGCCTTTCTCGCAACACCGACGACCCCAGCGCAGCACTTTGATCGCTGTGCCTCCACTATTCAGCGCACTTTTTTTTACAATGTGGGCCTTCAGACCTACTACCAGATAAATTTTTAAAATTTCTGAAATTGACAGTATTTTTCGCCCTATGCGCCATGGCTCTAGTCACCAACGTGATGTTTCCAGCGTTTCGTTCCCAAAAGCAGTCCGTGTCGCTGTCAGTCGAAGAACAGATGAAAAGGACGGCTCAGTCACGGAGCAGGCTTCGGGATCAGATGGTCCTCGTGGGCGACTTTGGAACACAGGCAAGAATCATCCAGCCACATAGTAATTCGATGGGTCCTATGAACAAAGACCGCTATGCTTTGCATCGTTTTAACAAAGACCGCTATGCTTTGCAGCGGCCAAAAGCATGGCGGTCTTTGTTCAACGGATGCAAAGCATGGCGGTCTTTGTTCAACCGACGCAAAGCATAGCGGTCTTTGTTCATAGGACCCATCGAATTTCCCGTTCACATAATTATTCATAACTCACAATCACAATGCTGTTCTTAACACACTATTTTTTTTTGTCTCAATGGATGATACCATTTTTGGCTGAGCGATAGCGGAGCCTGTTTAACACTGTGAACTGATTCAATGCTTTGGGTTTTCTCATCTGTTCCAGCTCACAATAATACCAGCGTTCTGGATGAATGTGAAACGTGGCGACTTGGACCGGGCAGCGGTGGGGCTGTACTTCATTGCTGGAATGACTTGCGTCATTTGGGCTCAAATGGTCCGTTAAACAGGAACACTACGCAATGCTAAATTTTAATGTTTCGCAAGGAAGCCTAAAGACCCGTCCTCCACTTTTACAAAGTATTTGGGGAAGTCGCAGTCGCTGCCTATCTCTGTTTAGATCTATAAAGTCAGGGACACTGAGATTCCAAACGCTATGAGTATAGCACGTATGGTGCAATACAGCTGAGATATCGCACCACACGTGCAATGCCTCAGCCATATTGCACCTTACGTGCAATGCATCCCGAAAATGCCCTATGCTAATGCATGGGACTGGGGAGGCATTGCACTTCATGTGCAATGCTTTTGCATTGCACCAATTGACGCTATACTCATAGCGTTTGGATTCTCAGTGGACATCGCATCGATTTTCAGTGCCTAAATTTCGTAAATAGAGGGAGTCAAAGTAATACAGACATAAGATTTTTCATGTTTCTAACCCTGAATTTTATAACGCAAGTAAAGTTTTAACTTTTGCAACACCGAGATTCCAAACGCTATGAGTATAGCACGTATGGTGCAATGCACCTGAGATATCACACCTACGTGCAATGCGATAGCCATATAACACCTTACGTGTGATGCGTCCCGAAAATGCCCCATGCTAATGCATGAGAATGGGGAGGTATTGCATGAGAATGGGGAGGTATTGCACTTCATGTGCAATGCTTTTGCATGGCACCAATTGACGCTACTCGTAGCGTTTTGATTCTCAGTGAATATTTTCTGTTTTGGTTATTTGTAAGTCCGCGGCAATAAAAACGCGACGGCAGTAAAACGGAGACGCGGATGAGTTCAAATCGATTTGCTCACTTACGGGCACGCGTGGGCCTGACCAAAAAAACCTAGTTAAACGTCTCGCAACACGGAAAAAAAATTGTTTGCTGAATCAGCAAATTTGCGTTTGCTGGAGATCATTTAGCTAAAATAACCAACGTGTTCGCTGTCACATGGTCCCGTTCGCAACATAAGCAAACCCAACTGTTAAAGCAACGAATAAGCATTAAGTCTAACATAAGACGAAATTTCGCAAGAGTACACAAGTAATTTGTTAATGCAGCGCAGTAGGTTTGCCAGGTGAGCAAGCTCAGAAACCATCGGATGGGTGCAAGCGAAGGCGATTCATGAGGGAAGCGGAACCACCGGCTTCCAAGATGTCTGCGTAGCGTAGTTGATACAGCTCTGGTGTTCAAGGTGAAGGGACGGTGGTTCGAATCCCGGTCCCCCGACAGTTTTTTTAAACCAATTACTTCATCTACACGACGATGGAACAGCTAATTTTGTTAGCTAAAAACAGGCAAAACCGTTTGCTGAAACAGCAGCGATTTCACTTTGGAAGAAAACCGTTTGTTGCTCAAACGGGTTAGCTGTGTCATTACCTACAGACGGATGTTTGCTGAACCAGCAAATTATTTGCTAAATCAGCAAACGTCCTTTTTTCCGTGAACCGCTTGTTTCATTTCGGTTGATGTTGCCAGTAAGTCCAGTAAAACTAAAAGTGCAACTGTAACTTTTTGTCAGGCTTAAACTTACGCTTGAAGATGTGAGACGAAGCTTGGACGAAAGATCATTCTACCATGCATGCAAACTCTCATTCCAGGAACGTGACATCACGTTGGAACGAATGTGACAAAATGTCACGTTCGTTTCAGCATTGTGTCACATTTGTTTGAATGTGAACAAGCTGATTTTTGGCCGATTCACACCCAAACGAATGTGACATAATGCTCAAACGAACGTGACATTTTGTCAACTTCGTTTCAACGTGATGTCACGTTCCTGGAATGAGAGTGTACATGTACATGCATGGTAGAATGTTCGTCTGTCAGGGCGTTTGAGCCTGTAAAACGCTTAAGAGATTACGCTTGCAAACGTGTGTTAGGCTAACGGCGCGTTTCACCGAACTTGACAAAGGGTCTACATTATTACTCATGAGGAACGTGATGTTTCCCCCAGAGCGTCATGGGCAAGTCTGGCGCGCTGACGCGCAGCATGCAGCAACTGCTGCAGGCATCTCGCTACATCGAGGAGGACGCGCTGCTACGCGGCCCAGCTGACACGCGTGGTTTGCTGCGCCTCGGGAGGACGGCCAGGTGGTTGAACTACCTGAAGATGGCAACGAGATGGCAGGTACATTACAAATCAAACTGTCTGTCTACTTCAGACTACTTAAACGCAGTTTTCGTCCCACGATCACTGTCACTCCAGGAACGTGACATCACGTTGAAACGAACGTGACAGACTGTCACGTTCCTTTGAGCATTGTGTCGCATTCGTTTCTACGTGAATAAGCTATTTTATGTCTGGTTCACGTCCAAACGAACGTGACACGATGATCAAAGGAACGTGACAGTCTGTCACATTCGTTTCAACGTGATATCACGTTCCTGGAATGAGAGTGGAGTTATGCAATTTAAAGCACAACCGACGGTGCTACAAGTTTGTTCCCGCCTGATGACATATTGTCAGATACGAACTGCAAATTATAATTCCTTTAGACAATTTGCTAGGGTGACACAAAACTGTATAACCATCGGCTGTGCTTAAAATTTCTAAATATCTTAGGCTTTACAGAGAGAAGTAATGGAGGGTGAGGCAGTTGACGCTTTTTCACGTCACCTCTCAGATGCCTAAAAAATAACACTTAAACCCGTTTCAGCCTAAAAGTCTGTTTGAACCTTCTACTTCACGAAGTCCTGCGTGGATAAGTTAAATAACAGGAAAAGTAGCGATAAACATCGGCAACTTTGGCCCGTCCCGTGCATTAACAAATGTGTGAATTTCGCCTTTGTTAACCCTGACGGGTTTGAACCTGAGTCTGTGGTCAAAATAGATGTTATTTTCGTCATCAGCGCCCTCAAAATCATAAGAAACAATGCAAAAGCTCGAATAAAAAGAATGTTCAAAATATACCCCACTGGGATTTGAACCCGGGTCCAAACTTTTACGATTCGCTTGAAACTGGCACCGTTGGTTTTGTCTCGTCGCCCCGATTCCAAAAATACCCTTACATGCCCTGCTAGCTGTATCCGTTGCCGAAATCCTCCTCGACCCCATGTAGACCATGATGCACCTGCAGCAGCGCCCCCCGGGGCTCGGATCGGATTTGCTGCCACCGAGCGGTTGTTAGGGTCACCCAAGGAGGCTGCATACCAAATTTGGTCAAGATCGGACCACGGGAAGTCCTCGGACGAACGGACGGACGGACGCACAGCAGGGATCATATTATATGCCCGTCCCTCCGTCATTTTTTTTACAAAAAATAAACGGGACGGGCCAAAAAGAGGCTTTGTTTAAATTTTATGACAAAAACGAAGTGTGTTGTGACTGTCCGGCCCTACGCTTTCGTTTTATTTTGCCTTCGAATTAGTCTCGGAGTGTTTCAACGCCAAAACAAAAAGAGCCCGTACAAAAATAAATGCCTCTAGAGTGTCTCGAGCCGAGACAGTGTGGAGACGTCCTGGAGACGCTGTGGAGACAGTCTAGAGACACGCTAGAGACGGAATTGGAGACACTGTGGAGACGCTTTGGAGACACCGCCGAGACACCTTGGAGACATTGCGAGTTTCTCGACACTGTCTCTATTCTGTCTCGAAAAGGAGACACTCTGGAGACGTTCTGGAGACACTTTAGGGAGACGATCTAGAGACAGCGCGGAGACACTGTCGAGACACGCGATGGGAGCGCCGGCACTCCCCCGAGCACTCCCACGAGACAGAATGGAGACAGTGCCGAGACCATCTCGAGGCAGCCTGGAGACACTTTGGAGACGCGCTGGAGACGCTCTTGAGCCGGGCGGACGGCCAGCCGCCCCGCCCCGCCCCCCGTCCGCCTGTGCGTGAAGGGCTGCCTACCTCCGGGAGCTCGCCCCGCAGAGCCGCGCGGGTTGCCTGCGCACACGGCGCCCTGTCACCGCGGCTAGGCGCCCGGGTTGCCTACGCCAGCCTACGCCTACCCGCAGGGGCTTGGAGCACTTCGAATCTGTTCTCAAATTGTGGAGGAATGACTTAAAAAGACTGCAGGTGTTGTATGAACTTTTATATAACGTTATATTTCATCATTTGTCAGGGTAACCGAAAATATGTCGATTTTAACTTAAGACAGATGAAAAACAAACTTCAAATTGATCTTGAACGGAGTCACATCCTCCAAAACAGTAACGAAAAATCATTATAAATTTCTCAATTTAAACAAAAACAAAGGGGAGCACAAAAGTTGAAGTGCTGTAGAGATCTAGTTCATGTAGCGTCAGCATCTCCGAGCCCGAAAATATGTCAATTTAAACTTAAAGCAAATGAAAAATAAACTTACAATCGATATTCATCGTTATGTGAACTGAATCACGTCCTCCAAAACAGTAACGAAAAAACATAAATTTCTCAATTATTTAAACAAAAACAAAAACAAAAACAAAGAGGAGCACAAAAATTTAAGTGCTGTGCTGATCTTGTTCATGTAGCGCCCGCATCGCATTCCCGAGCGTGTGCCATGGTTCCTCAACAGGTGTGGCGGCTGGCCCTGGCGGTAGGTTCATGGTGATGTCGCCCGTGAATGAACCTTGTGCATCGCCGCCCTCAGCGTAACCAGGGTGCTGCAGTGGTGGTGGAGCTGCAGTCACTGTGGCTTGAGCGTGAACAACTGCGCCTTGGTGGTTTGGTACTGAAAACGTAAGTGCTTAGTTTTAAACTGCATGAAAGCTAACGGACAAAAAAAAGTGAAGATGAAAATTCTTTTACCGGATCGCCGAAGCAGCTTTTCCAGAGCCGCGCGCACGCTTGGGTTTGCCTTCGTGTCTCTGATGAGGTTCCATGCGCTTTTGGAGGGGCTTTTGATGCAGCCATCAGTTTTGGTTCCAACATAATCTGCAACCCGAAAATGAAGACTATAATGAAAAGGGAATAAAACAGTTACTTTAAAAGTAATTCAGTGGCGGGCTTTAGGAAGGAAGTGGGGGTGATTCCCCAGATTTCCCGTCACATCCCAAAAACGCCTGCTGGTAGGCAACCCGTAGCACATGTCGCTGTATCTTCGGAATCCCCCTCCCCCTCTTGTCCTGGCCCGTGGAAATCGCCATTGATGAGGTTTAATACACTATTTAAATTATAGCAAACACTCTTGTTGGTTTGGGCCCCCTTGAGACTCACATGCAACTCCCTTCAGAACGTTCCTTGGCAGTCCAACGGAATTCGCTGTCCCTGCCGCGGTGATCCAGGGTAGAGCCAGTACCGTTGGAGGTACGCAGCGAAGCAGTAATTCCCGGAACAGTACGTTAGGGTCACCTTTGTGGTTCTTTGTGACGCTGTAAACCGTTTTGGACGGTAGATAAACGGGGTATGTGGTTCCACCTAAATTCAACTGAAAAACAAAAAAAAATGAACACAAATAAATTGAAATGCCTCACCAGTGCGCTGAAAAACTTGCCGTCGCCGTACGTACCATAGATTCATCTCCAGCTTGTGGTTCGCGCAAACACGGAAGTCGTCGAACGATTTCCCTTAGGTTTTCCTTCGTCAAAGGTAACGGAACCAAACGCAGCATTTCCTCTGGAGAAGCATTCGGAGGGAAGAAGAAATAGTTTCCGAGCGCAGCAGGGGCCGGTGCGTCATTGTTCTGGGCCGCATCGGCTGGAAACCATACAGAAAATTATTTCGCAAAGTGAAATGACGCACATCGAACGTCGAAAGACACCCCCTCCCCCTTTTTTTCAGTGGGCTGGCGGCGGCCAAAACTCGACGCGTTTTGAGCTTCTGCAGGCTGATTCCGAGAGTCGTTTTCGTCGCTCTGTCTCCCTCGCACCTACTCGGGACGCCCCATGAGTGCGAGAGAGACAGAGCTACGAAAACGACTCTCGGAATCAGCCTGCAGAGTCGCTAAATGTGACCCGAACCGAACGCGTGACCCCACCAATGGATTGCCCTCCGAACGAGGGGGAAGGGGGGGTCACACTTTCGATTCGAGTCCTGTTTAGCGACTCTAGAGCTCAAAACCCGTCTAGAGTTTTGACCGCCTCCACCGGCCGTCTGGCCCACTGTGCCCGCCCCCCTCCCCCTCCCCCTCCCCGCACGATCCCGCCCCCAACCACCTGCCCAAGCCCGCGGTCCTTTTCACTTTATTTTATAAGTCACTCACCTGTAACTCCGTACAAGAAGTGTGCCCTTGCAGCTGTCGCCGCAGTGCGGTGTACGACTGCCCGCCGCTGTCGCTCGTCGAGCAGGTCACGCCGCCGCTTTGCTACTTCTCCATTTGGTCCTCGCGATGGGTCGGACACCTCTCCGTCCACCGTCACCACAATTTGTTTCAAAACCGGCATGGTCCCTAGACATAAACGACGTGTTATGTTTTGTTTTTCCAATAAGAACCTTAAATGGTCATGCAAATGATAACAGCTTTCTTACCCACTCTAAGAATTTTCCCTTGGATCTGCTCCTTTCCCCACACAATAAGCCGCAAAGCACCAATCAGGACGCCGCCAATAACTTTGGACTTGTGGACGATTGAAGTTGAAGGGGGCTCCTCCCAATAAACCAGCACGTAAGACATGTTAGATAGCACGCACACCGGCCACACACACCTGTACGTCAATCCTGTTCTCCTGTCAATCAGCTGTCAAATGAGTATTTGTTGTCTGTTTGCTTTGATGGTTGTTTTTGCTGCCTTTCAAGGACTGAAAACCTACCACTTAAAACTGCTGAGACGGCAAGTAACTTTTTTTCAAAATGGAATCGTATTTCCAGCACGGAACCTTACTAAAATAAAAGATGTTTTTCTAACAGGCCGGTTTTATAGATTCTTTCAAGTTTGTTTGGCCAAATTTTTAAAAGTTCGGATTTTTTTTAAAGGTTGAGGTTGGCAGTACTTGGTCTTGCCGCTGCCTTGTAGAAACCCGCTGCGAAAGGCTATTGTTGAGGCGAGTCAAGCTAGGAAACCGACACGCGCTAAAGGTCACTCCAACGAATAGAAAATCTGGGAATGTGGCGCACGAGGATCTTCCTGTCCGTCTTAACTGAACTGCAGTTGTTATCAGGAGAGCCGTGTACCGCATGGTGAGCGTGTAAAGTGTGACCGAAAACTTTATGTCAGCGCTGCGTTGACAATTGATTGGTTTGGTTTCCATTGACAACACAGCAGCATGCCTCGGCGAAAGCGATCTTTCTCGGAATTTTTAGAATCTGAAGACGAAGGAGACTCAGGCCAGGAGAGCTCGTAAGTACATAAACATAACCTCAATTGGGCTCACTACTTTGTCAATGTTTCTGTTTGGATAAATTTTGTCATTATAATTTAGCCGCATGTTTATGATGCTTCTTTTTAATGGCTACGAAGTGTTTTACTTTCAATTTAAACGTTGGTTTGTGTTATGCGGTACTTGAACTCGTGTTTGTATTTTCAAACAGTGTGGGAGCCCAAGAACCCTTGCATCCTTTGATTCTTGCGGATTTATCTTCAACCTCGCACCCAAGCTCGCTGTCTGCACCTTCAGGACCGGCTCTACTCACACCTCACCCCAATTCTGAAAACAGTAAGGCATTTATTCATCTTTTTAGAGATTGCACTGAAACACGTTTTAAATTGACAACTTTTATCGAAATTTATTTTTCCACAGTTCCACTCTTTGAGGCTGGAAGTAGTCAGCAACTAGAAGCAGAAGATCTTCCAAAAGACAATGCAGAAGCAGAGGAGCAAGTTCCTATTTCTGACACTAGTTTGCTGCCTATAACAAGTGATGACAGTGCAGAGCCATCAATTTCACCTAGTATGTATCTTTTTACCTTCAAAAATAAATATTGTTTGTGGTGTGCCATTGTGTTAAACATACTGTTTTCTCTTCCGCCACTAAGGTGCTGAAATCCAGGGACAGGCGTGTCATGTGGAAATTCCCAGTTGCTCAGATGAAGAACACCATAAATATACAGATGACAATGAGATGATATGTGAGTGATTACATTTCGTGTTCTTCTTAGTGTGGGTTTTTAAATAATTTTATAGTCCTGCTTTATTTTGATTTTAATTTTACAGGCAGTAATGTATCTGATGTCATTAGCGAGGATGAAATGGACACCTCTGTTTGTGACGATGAAGAAGACAGGAACAGTGTCATCTCAGAAGACGGCAGCATTTTTTTTGATGCATTATCTGACAGTGAGGACTTCCGTGACTTCTGTAGTGATATGCCATCTGGAGAGGATCCTCTGCACCCTGAATCTGAAGTTTCCTTTCAAATGGCAATGGTGGCCCTACTGACTTTGGTGATGACTCATCGGCTCACAAAGGAGTGTGTAGGCGACCTTCTTTCCCTTTTAAAATTAATTTTGCCAAAAGGTAACATTTTAGTAGAGTCGGCCTATTTGTTTTTCTCTCACTTCAACCAACATCAAAGTACATTTACTAAACACTTCTTTTGTCGTGAATGCTCTGAGTCTGTTCCGTCATCTGATGCTGTCTGTCCAAGATGTGGTTCAACGAAAGGTGCTGACTTTTTCATTCAGTTCTCAATTTCTGATCAGCTTCAAAAGTTGTTTGAAAGTCCAGGTTTTTTGGATAAACTTAAGCACCCTGAAACACGGGTTAAAAAAAATGAAACAGCTTATGAAGATATATATGATGGGAATATATATAAAGAGGCTAAGAGACTTTTCTTTTGTATTGGTAGCTGGATTTCACTTATGTGGAATACCGACGGCTTTGCTGTATTCAAATCTTCCACTTTTTCTGTATGGCCGTTTTTTTTAGCAATTAATGAACTTCCACCTAATCTACGCCTCAAAAAGGAAAATATGTTGCTCGGTGGATTGTGGTGTGGCACTGGCAAATTTGACCCTAATTTATTTCTCAAGCCTATTTATGAGGAGTTGTGTAAACTTAAGGAAGGATTTGAGTTCAAAATTCCTTCCTCTATAAATCCTGTCAAATTTAAAGTTGCTTTGCTCTGTGGAACCTGTGATACTCCTGCCAAGTCTACTTTCTTTTGCCATACTAATTTTAATGGATGCTATGGGTGTTTGAAGTGTTTGAGCCGCGGCTTGAAGTCTGCTGAATCTGGAAATGTGTTTGTCTACCCTTTTGAAGAAAGGCTCTCTTTACGTTCAAATCAAAATTATGAGAGGCATGTGGCAGCCACACAAACATCAAATGGCAAAAAAGTTAAAGGTGTCAAAGGTCCATCATATTTATATAAAATGTTATTGGTCTCACCCCTTGCTTCTACTTCTATAGATATTATGCACTGTTGTTTCCTTGGAGTTGTGAAGACGTTAATGCAATTGTGGTTTCACAAAGGGTACAGGTCATCAAATTTTTCACTTTATAAATGTACTAATATTGTTGATGATTACCTCGGTTCCATTAAGCCCCCCCATTTTCTTCAAAGATGTCCTCAATCAGTCAAAAAACTGGCATTCTGGAAGGCCTCAGAGTATGAGTCATTTTTCTTTTTTTATAGTTTGCCTATTTTGTGTACTATCATGGACAGTGTGTATTTTAACCATTACATGCTTCTGTATGAAGGACTGTATCTGCTTTGTCAAGAAAGTATAACTGAATCTGATATTGACTTAGCCCAGGAGCTTCTTGACAAGTTTGTTATGCAATACCAAGAATTGTACGGCTTGCGCCATATGACATACAATTTGCACTGTCTTCGGCATTTGCCAGGTGTCGTAAGGGCTTTAGGGCCACTGTGGACCTCTACCTGTTATTTATTTGAAGGTTTGAATGGTACTTTAAAGCATTTGGTTCATGGCACACAGCATATTGGTCTGCAAGTGCAGACATATTTTGGTTTAGCAACAAA